CACCAAAAAAGATTCCATCTAGAAAATAAACATGATAGTGGAATTTAATTTTTCAATAATCTATTGGTGTTATAATTGATATAAAAATGATTTTCTGGGTCATAAAAATTTGTTTAGGCTCAACCAAGAACAAAAAGATATTTGTTAACTTTTTGGCATGAAACAAACGTAGCTATTCTTTCATGAATTAGTCTTTAAAATATATGAAAATAATTGTACTAAAGTAAAATGTGATGTTTATTTGCAAAAGACTCAATAGGGATAACTATGGAATTACATTTTTTCAAATCGCATCTTGAATAATTTCAAATGACTTCCGTATCTTTATTGCGATATACACTGCTTAATTATGATGCGACCATTTCAAAATAGTGGGCCTTTTTCGTTTGAATTGTCTGATATGTTGACCTGTTTATGGTTTCCATCGAGAATACTGTAACAGATTCATAGCATCATCTTTTGATTGGTTCTTGGTTCAGGGTTAGTTCCTGACAGTATGAAGATTGCAGCAGTGCGCCCCACCTTGAAAAAATCCAATTTGGACAGTGAGTGTCTTCAGAACTATAGACCTATCTCAAATTTGTCGTATCTGTCCAAACTCACAGAACGAGTGGCTTTCTCACGTCTTCGCACATATCTTATTGAAAATAATTTAATTGATAATTTTCAATCTGCCTACCGCCCACACCATAGTGTGGAAACTTTGCTAACTAATCTTGTGGACTGTGTCCTCTCCGAAATGGATAAAGGTAACATTACTTTTCTTGTGCTACTTGATATGTCAAGTGCTTTCGACACTATTGACCACACAATACTTGTTAAGAGACTACAGTCTCTTGGGGTAACAGGCACTGCGTTGCAGTGGTTTTCATCATACATTCATAAAAGAACCCAATATGTCTCTGTAAATAACTCTCAATCTGACAAAACTTATCTTTCATACGGTGTGCCACAAGGGTCTGTTGGTGGCCCGTTAATGTTTTCTGTTTACCTTGAGCCAATCAGTACAATAATTAGAAAGCATAATATAAAATATCATTGTTACGCTGATGACATTCAGCTTTTCATTTCTCTACATCCTTCCTCAGATGCAATTGCCGATGCTAAGAGAACTTTAGAAGCCTGTATTCATGACATGAAAGGCTGGATGGATTCCAACGGTCTTAAAATAAATGAAAATAAAACTGAGTTTATCATTTTGGGCTCTAAGAACTCTTTACTGAGAGCAAATCATACTCATTTAAGCTTGCATCTAGGTGACAAAGTTCTAAAGCCAGCCTCAAAGGTCCGTAACCTCGGTGTGATATTTGACAATAATATGTCATTTATTGAACATGTATCTAGCATATCAAAGTCTGTAAGATATCAACTGCGGAACCTTGGGTTCATACGAAAATCTCTGACTCAAAAAGCATGCGAACAATTAATCCATGCATTAATCTCATCCCGCTTAGATTTTTGTAATTCTATTCTATTTGGACTCACAAAACAGCAGCAAGACAGACTGCAATCCCTCCAAAATTCCAGTGCAAGACTCCTTACTTTCACACCAAGAATGTCTTCTATTACGCCTATATTACGCTCTCTTCACTGGCTACCTGTCCAGAAAAGGGTCCACTTCAAAATTATGTTACTTGTCTATCGGGCTCTCCATGGAATCTCGCCACAATACATTAAAGACTCACTACACTCCTACAATCCAACTCGTACCTTAAGATCTGGAAGTGATAATTTGCTGCAAATTCCACGTACCCGTCATTCATGGGGAGACCATGCTTTTTCACATGCAGCAGCCAAATTATGGAATAAGCTTCCCTCATCACTTCGCTGTATTGCAACATACTCTGCCTTTAAAACTCGTCTTAAGACTTACCTATTCCATCTGTAACCCAGTATTTCCTTAAGTTGTATAAGTTTATTTTACTAAATCCATAATTGATATGTTTTTTGTATATACATTTGAAATTAATTAGTTATCACCCTTTAGTCTCATTGGCTGCCTGTGTGGGGCCTGTTGGCCTCAGATGCTAGAGCTTCTGTGAATAATGTGCTGACTGGGCTAGTCCCTTAAATTGTCAGTGAACGGAGCAGCTGGAGGGCACCGGGCCCCACCAGGCAGAGCTGACGATTGAAATGGGTTATAACAAAATATCGCAAAAAATATTGCAAAATTATTTACTTTACTTGTATCAAAGAGAACTGTTGCTGAGCTAGCGCCATGAGCGTCCCTGGACGGTGTGTGCGCTCTATAAGTTTACACTATTATTTATTATTATTATTACTTCTCCAGTGTGAAGGTAACTGGATACAAAATATCGCCCGATTTTCAACAAGAAAGAAAAATCTCAATTAATACGGCAGTTGAATTGTCTATAGAAAATTTGATCAGGTTATCTGAGAAATACGTGTATAACTTCGTTTTCATAATGTAGGCTACGCTTGGCTATGTGCTAGCAAGAAAGTGGGAATTTAAAATGCAGTAAAAGGTCAGCGTTATTCATCATTGTAATGTGTTTTAATTACCATTAATCACGTGTGTTGGAAGCATGTCCTCTGTATGCGTTCGCCTTTAGCAGTTGGCATAATTTTTGTTATTCATTTAGTATTCAACCTTGGGTTATCTTTGTGTTGATCAAAGACTACGAAAGGATCACGCTTGATTGAATCGTGCTACACGGAGCGCGAACTTTCCTTAAATCTGTATACATAACGTTATTTATGAATATAAATAGTAGTAGTAATAATAATAATAATGATGATAATAATAATAATAATAATAATAATAATAATAATAATAATAATAATAACGACAATGATAATGATAATAACAATGTTAACAATAATAACGGTATGGTATGGTATGGTATGAGATATATTTTCCGAATCACAATATAAAATTCAATACAAACAAAATAGAAAAGTACATATACAAATCAAGAATATAGTGAATGGCTGGACAGCCCTCTCGTCTATGTTGACATGACAAAACCATTCTTCCCTGTGGTACAGAAATAATAATAATGATAATAATAATACTACTTCTACTACTACTACTACTAATAATAAAAGGTTCGCCCTCTTAATGCTCTTATAGATTGAAAGCTTTATTTAGTTCTTTGTTGTTTCTCTGTTCGAGGTATGCATTGAGCGAGAAATGCGAACATACACAAATAAGAAGTTGGTCATGACAGCGAAGAAACGTCTACGTGACTCCACTACGCTACCAAAACCAAACAAAAACAATCGTTAACACTGCTACCTATTTCCATGTATATTACACATGTTGAATGCGTGCAATGCGTTTGTTCGCCTTTTCACTAAGAGCAAATTGGTTAATCATAACACACGTGAGACGAAAAACACATGTATTGGCACTCACGGCTGCCACAGGAAACATGCTTTTTAAAACGGAAGGAACACTTACACGCAGTGAGTACAGCCACCTTCGCAGCATCGCATCTTCGCGGTTTTAATGAGACACACTCTTCCCGTTGCCTAGCAACCGCATCCACCGTTGATGAGAGTGTCAATAGAGGCATCATAGCCACGTTGTACCCCTTAGCAACGCTCCGTCGTGCTTATTAATCGTAAAGGGTTAATCTTATCTTTTTATGGGTATGTTTGTTGGTAGTCATGTACTCGTGATTGATACGCCTACATTCAAACTCTACGGCCCGAATTCACAAAGAAGGTTTGTCGACAAACCTTGGTTTTCGTACGTCATTATGAAGCGTTTTGCGCGTTTTTTACAAACCTGGATTGTAAAGAACAAAAGGAGGTTTGGCGAAACAAAAGGAGGTTTGAGCTCAAACCTTGCTTTGTGAATTCGGACCTACATGAACAAGTGCATTTTAATGCCTATGAGTTTGTCTTGCATGACAACAAAATAATGCTAATATACTGGGCGATTGATTTACATTACAACGAAGTAGTGCGTAGGTGCAGTGCTTCCACGTTCGTGTACACATGCTTATGATGAAATGCGTGTTGGCATTTAATATGACGACACTCTTTCAAGTGAATGTAATCATAAACTTCATTGTTAGCTGAGAATTACGTTTATTGGCACAATAAATTCAGTTTACTGTATATTAACGTGAAATATCCAAATAATTGCAATGATAAATGTTATTGATTGAATTATTTTCATTTGAACAATGTAGTATTATGATTTACAATCATTAAAGTCACTGTCGTTATTTTTATTGCATCACTGAAATCTCATTTATTCATTTTAAAGTTTACAGTGTACACATTGATCTAAAAAGTATAATTAAGATCAGATATATTAGACATACTCTAATAATTTTATATATTTATTGCACGAAGGCATATTCATTTCACAGCAAAGTGGATTGATATTTAAATATTTGGCTTTCTACTGGTCGATTACACATTCTCACAAAAATTACATTCGACATAAAACAGAGACACGAACTGATTATGATGATGATGATGATGATGATGATGATTTACAGCATACGTATGACCCTGATGCAAAATGGACACTTTACTCAATATGTTTTTAAGATCTCAACATTTTTAGTGTTACGCACCTTTTTTTCAAACCAAAGTTTTTCAGATTCCTTTCAAAATTTAATTGTTTCCTTTCCTAATGCGTATGATTACACTATCAGTTATGTTATGCCTTGGGATCGTGTAAGATCTCCGTTGCAACGTGCACCACTTTTATTGTATATCATATTAATAACCTAATTTAATGATAATTATGATCGCAAATACTTTCGAAAAATCAACCTACCGGTAAAGCAATTCCAATGAAAGCCTTATGCGTCACCGTCTGGAATGTGCGAACATTGCAATGACGTATTTCATCATTCGAATAATGATGGTATCTATAATTAATTCAAATTACCATTGAAGTCGCGTGTAAGTTGATTTCTCGAAAGTCTTCACGATCGTGCGAGGCTGCAAAATTCATTGTTTGATATTAAAATAATTATTTCTCTTTTCTTTTTCTTTTTCTTTTTCAATGTTAGGTCCAAGCAGGTTATCCGTGATGCCATCCTTCTCAATGACTTCACCAAGAACTTCGACAGCTCACAAACCCGCGAGATAGTGGAGTGCATGTTCCCTATCGACTATAAGAAGGGCCAAATAGTCATCAATGAGGGCGACTCAGGAGCACACTTCTACGTCGGAGCAAGTAAGTCGTGCATGGTCATAGTATGGTTATTGGTACATGATATTCTAAAAATGTTAGGTTTTGGGTTTCGAACTCGTTCTGCATATATTCATTATTGAAACACTAATTGTACATTTGAGCTGATATTGGACACTTTTCAAGGGTTATATTTCGAGAATAAATGAATGACCATTGATTAATTACACCTTTAATTAACACAGTAATAACGTGAAGGTTATGATGTTTCTAATAACAAATCGTGAAGCAAAAAGTATGAAGCAATCTTCGGTAGGTTACGTCTGTCATTAGCAAATACTGCATTTAACTTACCATGACGCACAATGAGCAGCAACACCCACTTGATTATATCGACAAACTGTTGAATGATTATGTTTTTATTGCCAGTGGGGTCACATCTGGAAAGGGAACAGGCTTTTAAAGCCTGAATGTAGAGAAAAGGGACCGCGAAAAGGAACGGGAAGAAAGGAAATAACAGAAAAGGGATAACATAAAAACATGGCTATCTGGAGGGAGAGAGAGAGAGAGAGAGAGAGAGAGAGAAGTAAAACTATTTTGAAAAGGAGAGTAATAAGAGAAGGATTCACAGGAGGAGTTTAAAGGATGCGAAGACGTTTATAAGAAAGGATGGGGACGAAATAACCAAGGGCTTATTAGGGAAGGGCAATGACCTGAGCACCTTTTCATCAAACGTATTCCTACTCACGTAAAATGCAAATCAGTTCTGACTTTGAGGGAATACTCTCAAGACAATGTCCCAAATCTTTCAATTTGTTTTCCCATTTGGAAACCTGAGAAATATAACTCGAGGTTTCTGCCTCGAAATTCATGATTTTATCCGCGAAGGAGCACTGTTCTACTTTTGAGTGACGTGTTTGCAATTTTCTGCCAAATAGACATACGAGCCATGTACTTCAATTCAATACAAGCTTCGTAAGTTGTATATACTAACAACGTGATTTTCGCTCGTGTACATTTAACGAATGTTTAGCCATGTACTTCTTTTAAGCCAATTTAATACAGGCTTCATAATTGTTGTATATACTAGCAACCTGATTTCCGTTCGTGTACATTTAAAGAATATTATTATTTGGGCATGATTATGCAATTATTGGCAATGTTGAATTTCTACTGCATATAACCGTAATCTGTTACACAAGGTCGGCATGATAAATTAGGATGTTTTGCATCGAGAACAGTAACGTATATTTACACACTCCCCCTCATGTCGATGATAAACCGATATGTTGCCTTCATTAGTGTAATCAAGTCAACACGCTAATTACTAACCAGCGTTTGCATGCAGCGTGCCATAAACTAGTCACACAATGAACCATTGCCACTTTAAGGACAAGAGAGAGAGAGAGAGAGAGAGAGAGAGGGAGAGGGAGAGGGAGAGGGAGAGAGAGAGAGAGAGAGAGAGAGAGAGAGAGAGAGAGAGAGAGAGCTGTATCCATGATCTACGAGATAAGCCCCATTTCACATTGCAGACATATTCTATATCTTTGTTAGATGTGGATGGACTTATACACGTATAATTATACTCTTATACACTCGTAGTATGTTATGACTCTTATAATTATATCACCTCACCGCGTAATGTATATGATATCATCATGATACAAAGAAAGGAAAAGTAATGTTTATAATTACGTTTTAAATTATATTGGAACCTTTCCCATTAATATTCAACAATCATTTTGAAAATTCGGAATATACTTGCAATCAGATGAAAAGTTCTAAGCAGGGAAAAAAAAACATCAATATCATTAATCGTATTAAAATCGGATTATACGGATTAATGTCAAAGTATGGACGGAGCTTCACCTGATTGTTGTTCAAATAGAGACTTTTGGCTCCCACTACTACTAATGACTGTAACTTCAGATATGAGAGGAAGATAACAATGTGGTCATACCGACTAAGAGACAGCGCTAGAGGCGGGGGGGGGGGGGTGTAATGTGACATCCCCCTCAACATTTTCTTTAGGCAAATACATACCTGATTTCCACATACTGAGACTTTGTGGAAGCCATGTCGGGAACTCATTTTACTGTAGAAAATCGATCTGAGGAACTTACTCTTTTTTCCTTTCTTTTTCCCTTATTTTTGTTGTTGTTGTTGTTGTTGTTGGGGCCCTTGGGGGATATTTTTGCGAACGTTTGGCCAAATTCGGTTCAACCCCCCCCCCCCCCTGATGTTGTTAAGGCACATTAGTGAATGTAATGTAATGTAACATTTGGAAGAAAATTTATTGTTTAGTGATAGGAAACGTGTCTGTCGCGTATCTATCTATCACACTATACAGGCACTCAAACAAATGAGGTAATACACGGGGAACACCTATGATAGAGAAACTACCACTACTGCAACTACTACTACTACTACTAATGCTGGTGCTGCTGCTACAAACACCAATTACTACTCCCCTTAGCACATAAACATCATCATCATCCGTCCCCGGGCGGGAATTAAACACAAGGTCCATAGACGCAAACATCATTAACGTGTAACCATGGTAACAGCATCTTTTGTCTTCATTTTTTAAAATTTCATTTTGTTTTATTTTTGCTTTTTTCCTTGTCTTTTTCTTCAGCGGGTACCCTTGAGGTGAGCCAAGGTGATCGCGTCCTGGCCACTATGGGACCGGGAAAGGTCTTCGGGGAACTGGCCATCCTCTATAACTGCACCAGAACAGCCACCATCACTGGTATGTATTATATAATAGTCGTCCCTACTTTAGTACTAGCACGTATTCTACTAACATTTAAAGAGAAACTGGAGTTTTGGTAAAGACGAAAAGATATGTTTGTACTTTCTCATTGTCTTGAGTCAGTTTGTAAGAATTACATATATAGTAAAAAAAAAAAAAAAAAAAAAAAAAAATAGCTGAAAAGTTTGGAACAAGCATTAAATCTTGCGTGTATTCACAAATACTCATTTATGTGAGCATTGAATTCGATCTCCAGGAAGACTGAGAATATTCTTCAATTTGTATTATTCCAAAACGTTATAGAATACAACCTTCCTATATGTACTACATAATCAACCTTTACCTTGCAATAATTGCTTCGAGACATATATTTTTCATTCACATTGTTATCGCGTGACTAGAGCTCAACTTTACATTAAAGCCCAATGCTGGGTCTCTGCCCGGGTAAGGATGCCTTCCACAAAATTAGGTTAGAATGAGGTTCAAATTTTCCAACTGTTCAACTTTACTTAGATCCGGCATCAGGATTCATTTCATTGTATCAGTAGAATACAGTTAATGTACGCAAAGTTGAATAAACCATAAACAACACTTTTTACTATTTGAAAAGCAGCCCGTCATAATTATGTTAAACTCTCATTTTGATTTGTTTTTTATCAAGTATTATTAAGCCTCATAAAACAACAATGAACATTTGACGTAATACAATTAACAAAATGTATATAATTAAAGATGATAACAATCTTAAAAGGATATTTATATAATCAGAAGAAAACAAAGTATTATTCCAAAACGTTATAGAATACAACCTTCCTATATGTACTACATAATCAACCTTTACCTTGCAATAATTGCTTCGAGACATATATTTTTCATTCACATTGTTATCGCGTGACTAGAGCTCAACTTTACATTAAAGCCCAATGCTGGGTCTCTGCCCGGGTAAGGATGCCTTCCACAAAATTAGGTTAGAATGAGGTTCAAATTTTCCAACTGTTCAACTTTACTTAGATCCGGCATCAGGATTCATTTCATTGTATCAGTAGAATACAGTTAATGTACGCAAAGTTGAATAAACCATAAACAACACTTTTTACTATTTGAAAAGCAGCCCGTCATAATTATGTTAAACTCTCATTTTGATTTGTTTTTTATCAAGTATTATTAAGCCTCATAAAACAACAATGAACATTTGACGTAATACAATTAACAAAATGTATATAATTAAAGATGATAACAATCTTAAAAGGATATTTATATAATCAGAAGAAAACAAATCCCGGTAAATCCGTGCAGTTCTTCAATCCACGCCACGCCGCTTTTCTCAAATTCTTTCTCTGCAATGAAACATCATTCTGTCGCTTTTCCTTGCCCAAAGAATTTTTAGGTGCGTTCACAAATTGAAGCGACTAATAATATGCCTTTCTCAATCCTTCCACTCAGTTTAATTTCACAAGTATTGCGCTCCTATCGCATTTGTCAATCTGCAATTTACTTTATTTTTGTTTTAGTAGCTATGCTGTTCCCCTCTCCATCTCGATTTCGACCGCACTTTTCTCCCAAGATCAAAACAAAATCTACCGTGGCTGCTAAGAGGGGTTGTCATGGTTACGCTTCCATTGATGCATATTGCTTGGAGCGACAGCAGCAGAAAATCGATGAAAATCTGTTCGGACAGAATCAAGATCAGTTGAAACATGAATCAAGATTAATGAAACTCTTATAATAACCTATAGGTGGGAATCGTAAGAATGTAAAGACTATCATAGAGAATAAATAGAACAGTATTGATTGTATTCAATAGTTTTATATCTTGAACCAGCTCTGATAAGTTTCGGATAACGACGTGGGCACTATGACGTAACTCGGATGAGATCGGAATCTGTCATTTAAAGGCTGAATACCACATGAAATATCGCAAATAAATCATTGATTCTAGTTCGCTTTTATAAATCTTGTACCTGACTTCATTTGCGGCGTATTACGATATGAGATTTACAGTAATATAATAATCGCAATCTGTCCTTTGAATGGTAAAAGAAAGCGAATCATATCTTAAACAGAACGTCATCGATTTTACTTTCATTCCTAGCCTGGACGATCGAGGCCTTTATAGCTTCCATTTGCGAGGTGTTTTCTTTATACAATGACCTAGAAATGGTCTGAATCTGATCAGTTTGATGCAAAAAAGAAGGAAGGAAGGACTTGGCATAGCTCGCCAACGTCGCGTTGTAATTACAGTTCTAACGACCGATTAAAAATAGCGTTATGGCAATATTTTGCATCTCAGTATTGTTTTGCCTCTAGATCAGGGGCGTATCCAGATCTTGATCTCAAAGAGGGCAAAGGGTTTAGAATGGGAGGTTTGTGTTACTGTGGGAGGTTATGGGGGGGGGGTCGCCTAGAATTACGTATCTTAGGAAGAAAATGTAAATATTTTGAGAATAAATATATACCCTTTGTATGTGAATTGATTTGCAGTGATTTCTAATTAACCCGCTTACTACCAATGAAGCATGCCTTTTTCGGGGGGGGATATGTCAGGAGGGCACATTGTACCCCTGCCCCTCCCTCAAATATTCATGTGCTCTATTTACATCGAGCATGTTTTCAATTTTGTCCAGGTCCCTTTTCATTAGTCTTTCTCTTGACATTTACATTTTAACCAACCATATGGGACGTCATCTGATATCTGCCCGAAAACATTGGGGGAGGGGGGTTGTGCCCCTTCATATGAAGCCCATAGTTATAATATTAATTTAATTTTCCATGCCTGTACCGATCCTTACAGCTTCTAAATTTGTGACCATCATAATTATGCAAGTTGTTTCCTGTGATCCATTTACCGATATTGCTATTGAAATCACTCATCTAATTACTTTCGCGCCATCTCATTTTATTTTCGCGCCATCTCATTTTCGCGCGGTTTCCTCGTCGGCGTCTGCACACCAAAGCCGAACACTTGCAATGCGAGCAAGGAGAAAGAGGGAGATACTATTACCGAAATTACTCCTGTCATCGACTACACATCAATGCCCTCTAGATATCTATCAAATCAGCGAAGAAGCGTCAGGAACACATCGCATACAATCATTTTTCACACTCCTCACCTCCCTCAAAAGAAAATAGTATTTCGAAAATGTACATGCTCTGCGAGACTTGGAATTGTAAGGTGAATGAATAGCATTTTATGCATTTTAATAGTAGCTTATTTTTCTACCCCTCTCTATATCTGAGACGACATTGTCTCCACGGCGTATCATTATTTTTTTGTTACTCTATTATGGTGTTAATGGTCAAACGAATCACTATAACTAGCACTCGCCATCAGTGTTACACGATGGATAACATGCTAATTAACGCCATTAATACGATGGATTACGTAGGGGATCGTATAATATTCTCTTTACGTGTTCTATTTTAATCTTCATCTCTCTCTCTCTCTCTCTCTCTCTCTCTCTCTCTCTATCTATCTCTCTCTCTTCTCTCTCTCTCTCTCTCCCTCTCCCTCTATCCCCTTTTCTTTCTTCTTTTGCCATTCGATTATGTATAGCCTTCCCTCCCCCACAAAATATTAAAATAAACATGCTGGAAGCGCTAGCAGACTAGTATGATCGGTAAACAGTTTTTACGTCATTTCAGATATTTACAGCGATTTCTCAGATATCACAATCTAAGCGACATAAACACATCTGAAATATCTATCTTTCAATACAAATAATCCAATATCCAATTTGAACAAGTTTCATTCGAATTTCCTCTTTGCTACCAGAACTAAAGATTATCTTTCAATATTAATTGGAAATCAATTATTAGATAACAAAACGATACAGCATATCTATCTTATAAAACAAGTAAAACAAACGCGTTCTACACATTTTGTGCCAATTTATTTTCGCAATTATAACTATACAAATATCTTCTTTTATTGTGTATTATGCAGCCGTCACTGACGCGCAAGTATGGGCGATCGATAGAAAAGTGTTCCAGCTGATCATGATGAAAACTGGGATGCAGCGCCATGAAGAGTATTTCAACTTCCTTAAGAGGTAAGCAAGAAAAAAGAGGGTTTACCTAGACTAAATATTTGATACAAAAATTGAAAGATCCTCCAAAAGAAGTCTTGTACGCAGTCGGATAACCAGATTACGATTTAAATATTGACTACCATTTTTGTTTTGCTTTTTTTGGCAAGTGTGTAAAAAACTGGCATCTTTTGAACAGACCAGACATAAAAACGCCTCTTTTAGGGTTCGTAGCAGGCCTTTCAAGATCCTATACGCGGTGTTTTATGGTATTGTTTATTTTTTCAATACTCCTTAACCGTTTGCCTAACAATGGGTAGGGGGGGGGGGGTAATGTCATACATTCTTACTATAAACAAATAAATTTTTTAATTTGACTAGTACCCTTTAAATACTTTGTCTTCAATTAAACCTACCAAAATGTCTTACAGAGTGAATAATTAAAACACTATCTTCGTACCTAATTCCGAAGCATTTAACTCCTAGTATCTCATTATAATACTCCAACTTGTTTCACCCACAGTGTGTCTCTCATAACTTTTGCAAATGACGTACACACAACATTTGCCCGTATACAAGGTGTATCATAATACTATCTTGATAGTAATTCATCTGTATTGGTGATACACAAGTGTGTAGCTTTGAAGTAAGATCCAAAGTTTAACTTTTAACAAACCTATACCTTAAGCCTATCTGTACTAGTTTACAGGAGGAATTAGACCACCCTACAAGGTCACTGACAGGTGGTTATCTCATCAAATCAGCTCTCAATTAACATAAGAAAAAGAGGATCATGGGGGACCAATGATCACCGATTAGGCATTGTTTGCTATGTTAATAGAGGGCGCAAGTATAGCTATAAGTAGTAAAGTGGAGCTTTAATATCTGACATTCTTGTTTCTTCCGCAGTGTGCCTTTGCTCAAAGATTTGTCTTCCGATAACCTCTTCAAGTTGGCGAACAGTTTGGAAGTAGACTTCTTCCATGAAGGTGAATACATTATAGTGGAGGGCTCCAGGGGAGATACCTTCTACATCATTAGTAAGGGGGAGGTAAGTTTGTGTCACAACTTTTATTTTTATATTTGCTTTCTCCCCCCCCCCCCCTCGCCCCCCCCCCGTACTTGATGTTAAATTGATATGACAAAAGAAAAATATTATGTATCAAAGGATGCATGCAACTCAATTTTTGTAGCAAATGTGGGGAAGAAACGAAAGCGAAGGAAGACGATGAAAGTGAGCTTTGAGCCTAGTCCATGTGCAGATGCGTCTTCTTTGCATTGCATTTTGATGGAGAATGCCAGAAAGACACATTTATGAAACAATACTAGGAGTACATTTCTGTTGTATGTTTTACCATACATATAAATAAGAATGAATAAATCGAAATAAAGCATTACAGTCTCTAAATTGGCAACACGAACGGGATAATCCCTACATGTGCAAATTGGCAATTATAAGTTTTCCTTGTTGCATTTTTCTACTTTTCATCCACATACACTAGTGTTAGTAGATACCTTTTTTAATCTGACTTCAGAATATACGATTGAATATATGAATTGATGCAATTTAGGGAGGCAAGTCTGATTCATTTAAAGTTGGAAAAGTTATGGGGCCCGTTTCATAAAACTTATCATGTTCCATGAGATTTTATAGTGAAGTAAAATTGAGGAGTAAGTATAACAAATGCTAAATTTCTATGACAAATTTGCTCTCGGCCAATCAGATGTCATGATTTCAGTAGCTTACAGTAGCTTGTAACTTGTTATTGACATCAAGTTTTATGAAAGAGGGCCCTGAGCCTCCATTATTGAAGGGCGAATTTTCGTTTTTTTTCTTGCTTGTAGGTCCGGATAACCCAATCCGTCCAAGGACAGAGAGAACCCCAGGAGGTTCGAAGCCTCCAGAAAGGAGACTTCTTCGGTGAGAAAGCGCTCCTTGGGTAAGTACCTCATGTCCTACCAGTCAGACCGCAGCGCGCACAATAATGAATCGATCTGCCGAGTTTTATCGTGCCTCTCGTTCCGGTCGACTATAGAATCTCACGTCTCGCCCTTTGCGAGAATTCCCGTGATTTTTCGAGGAAGGATGAACGAAGCCACCAATTTAGCTGTTACGTTTAGGCTATTGTATCCAAATTAATGATATAAAATCAAATTAGGGCCAAAATAAAGAATAATTTCAAAATTGCCAAAATATTACCCTGGTTGCATAAAGGAAATGCTCTAAATTATCGGATACCTTATACCATTGTGGCATTATTTTACACAATGTTTTTAGATGGTACTCTCTTTGATTTTGTATCTTGTTAGTGTGATCCCATCGGGTCAATATGAGTCATTTAAGGATGTTTTTGTTTGGGGGGGTGGGGGAGGGGGTGGTAATGAATGTGTCAGGGGAGGGGGCATTTTTAATATTACATGTGGTAAGTGATCTAGCCTGATAGGGTGTATTATGTGCACTGTTACGGATTGCCAGATAGGGTCGTGGGACTAAATATCATAAATTAACACATATTATGACAAAATTGATACTTCTGGAAGACCTTTGAAAACATGTTCAAGTATTTATTGAAGCAATTCTCATACATAATAATAACTTTGTGTAGACCATAAGAATATACGGTGAAATATAATGTACTAGCTAACTCATCAACAAAAGTGCTTAACACAAAATCTGCCATTCTAGAAGATTTTATTTTTGATAGTATGTTGTATAAATTTTACTTACATGTAGTTTAGAAACTAATTGCATTCCTCCAGTTTGCTTTCATGTTCTTAGATGTCATCGCTTTAGCAAGTTTAAAATTATTTTAATTCCCATTTAATCTTTGTTTTCAGTGAGGACGTACGAACAGCGAATGTCTTGGCCAGCAAAGGGGGATGCGAGTGCTTGGCCGTTGATAGACAGTGAGTTAATACAATTATAGATGTCTTCCAAATCATTATCACTTTTTCATGTCAGATCTCGTCTAAGGCAGTATGTTTGTGAAATGAAAATGTGTCTAGAATGAGTATCCCTGTAGGTCTTACTTAAAGCCAAGGGAGGATACGTATAAGCCATGTGCAGTGAAACGTGTTTACATACGCAATTAAATCCTGAATTCTCGTTTCAGTTGTGACGTATGATTTTTAATGAATACAAATGCAAAGACTTTCTCGGAATCAATTTAAGGGCCATCTCAACACCTTATTGTAGCCTACTTCCTATATACAGTGCGCCCAGAAAAAACGAAACCGAGAACTATCGATGTTTTATTATAACTTAATCACAATTATAATTGATAAATGACACATATTTAGAAAGCTTAGATCCTCCTCTTTCATTTGATACAATTCATATGATGCATATTTCACGCATGAGTGATTAAAAGCAATTTGAAGAGAGGAAACCAAAAAGTCATTAATTATAATTGTAATTAAGTTATGATAAAACATCGATGATTCTCGGTTTCGTTTTTTTCTGGGACGCACTGTATAAATTATCATTGAATTATTAATATAACAATGCCATGTTACCACATTTCAATAGGTGACGCTAAATGCTATTAGAATTGCCTTAAATTTATATTTTTTCAAGTCTTTGTAATCATTTAAATAATAGATTTAAAACAGTTTCATTTTCGTGGTCCCGAGGAGTTTCAGTAATAGATAAATCTAATAGCACCATTGCATTTGCTGCTATTCGCACATTTATTTCAATCTGTTTAAAAAATGTGGCCTTCTTTTTCCGAACTGGAATCTCATTAAACCATGTCGCATTTTGGCGTAATAGTATTCAGATCAACGCGATAAATTAGACGTAGGCCTATACCTTTTCGTTCTCATGGACGGTTAAATAAGATTGAGCATTATTGGACAGTAATCCTTTACCTAGAAAAGACCAAGTTGAAAGGGGAATGAAACGGTACAAGGTCGCGCTGCGGGATCGAGTAAGTTAAGTATGAAATTAATCCGATTTGGGGTGTGTCCATACCGAATATTGAATCCCATGTGTACAAATCAGGCGTGATTTTGAAATGTCACGGCATTAAAAATGTATGACAGTTTTTGTTTACACGAGCTTTCTGAAGAAACAAAGATTTGATGACTTTTGGTGGTAAGGCTATAGTCACGTGACCAGGAAATCCGGGATTCGAAACTAATCAACGCGTTAGTGCCCTTTGGTTAGAGAGTAATCCTCAATTATATAATCCCTCGGATTGATATTACTGCTTGCTCAGTATTCAGGTAACAATACATGAATAATTCATATCAGCATATTTACGGATATCTTTTCGAAAGATGAACCTTGTCCGAATATCATTCAGGGGTCCCTTCCACACATGTACGCTTTTCTTAGCTAGAGTGCCTGTTCTACAACACAATAGCAAGGACATGCTCTTTCAGTAGCCTTGTACATCATTTCTTTTGTTTTAATGCGCATCATTAAAAGGATGTATGACATAATCTGAATATGATTTCTAAGGTGCGGTACATGTGCAATATGGTATTGCAATTTCGCTAGTCTCGTTGATTTCTTGAAAGTCTATGCAATTATGTTTTTTTTTGTTGCGTATAGCTAGTCTGCCCGTGCCGTTTAAAAGAACAGGGGGCGTTTTACAAAGCCTTTTTTCAATGAAAAATTACAAAAATCAGTGACAAATCTGATGATAGCCAATCAGAAGCAAGGATTTCAGTAGCTTATAACAAAAACTGTCATTTGTCACTGATGACAAGTTTTGTGAAACGCCCCCAGTTGTATTCCTTCTTGATCACACAAGAGACAGAAGTCTTGATTGAAAATATTCAAGTCGAAATACGCCCACGAGTAAATCCAAAGCCGATACATCTTAATGCAAACAGCAAGAGATTTCAGCTTGAACCTTGCTCATGATACCGGCACTTCGTCAAAACAGAGTGTTGTTTTCGCTTTCAGCATCTAAGACGATCAGACGTCATTACGGTTGCGGTTGTTTTGTATGTAGAGAGATTTTAGATGACTGTTGTTTTTCCTCATCGCTAGAAAGCTGTCTTTAGTATTAGAGATCCTTTTAATGTTGATTTGTGCATTAAATGAGCTAGGAAATGGGTGTTGGGGAAGTCAATATTATCGTAATTCTTCTGCCTTAAAGGCTTGACTCATACTGGCGATTTCATTCCCATTAACAGGTTCCGTTCCCATAGCTCATTGAATTGATATTACAAACATCAAATGGAGACCAGTGAATAAACATGACGCATATAAACACCCACGCATCACACACAATAGACTCACGCACACTCACACCGAGATAACCACCCACTCACGCACTCACACAAGGCCCTGTCCAATGGTCTTCTGCGAATCGGTTAGCCGCTCAGGCCACAATTGGTACCTTGTATTAAATGAAAGTGAGGGAATAAATATTCAGTGGGGACATGCTCCATTTATTTCGGCTTCGATCCCTTATTAGTCAAGGTTTAAGATTAAAAGGCGTCAAAAGTTTACTTTAATATTGCTAAGACCTAATGGGTGCGTTTCACGTTTGTCAATAGCAGTCAGGGACTATGGAGGCTTTATGTTTTATTTGTTAATGTTTTTGTTCTCTAATACGATTTAAATCCCATGACAGAAATGCGAATTTAATGGGAAGATTTAATTCTAGTATGGCTCAAATAAACCACGTTCTATTTTCACGTTTTGTGTTTTGGCGTGACCTCCGAGTTAATACATTTGTTTATTAAATATTCATGTATATGGAAGTCACCTGACGCAAGGCGTCACGAAGACCTTTCGCGGGGTTTGTACGGTCTCGAAGAATAATATATTTGTTGCCGGGTGTAAATGATGCGACAAAAAAAGGAATCTGGAATCGGGTAAGACATGCAATGTGATCTTAGCTTGGTTAAAGATAAAGTATGGAGAGATAACAAGAAGAGGTTTTCGAGGTTTTTCTGAATTTGGAAAGGCTGTAGACGTAATATGCTATAAATCCTGATAGAGCCTAGAGATTTAATATCTATTAACAATAAAAAAAAATAAAAAAAACACAAGGTAATGCTATTGTGTTCGTAATCAGTGTAGGCTATAACCTAGGGTGCTAGATACTGTGGGTACAAGTGGGGCTGGGAAGGGTTACATTCTTATTCAATTGATTTTTTGGAAAATACTCTGTAATAATAATTGTAGGAAAATTTATCAAATAAAGGACCTCATTTTGGAATCAAAGGAGGCAAAATAACTTTAGGGATTCTTATTGTCACATCTTCTAACAGCTGCATTGGTCCAATGTATGCGATATCTTCTCAAATGGAACACAAGTCATTGTCGTTATTCTTATTTCTTATTATTGTAACACATTATTCATTTCATTCGGCAGCAATCGTGGTATATCTAACCCCCCCCCCCCCCCATGCGCCTCTGGCTATTACAGTCAAGTGCGAGGTACCCGTTTACAGTTACATTAAATATTTCACGAACAAAAAATAATGAACCTTAATGAACCCTGATGCCACATTTAAAAGTCCGATGTTTTTCCTAATGTAGAAATCATATTCAGGAAATCTGTTTTCAAATTCAATAGGGCATTCCCTCCTTTTCCCTCCCGTTTCCTCTCTTCCATCTGCTCCGAAAGTTTCGTGAGATTCTGCCCATTTAGATTATACAAGGAGAAATTCCTCGATGGCTTTTACGGTTCGAATTCGAAATGGAACTGGATCTTTGTTACCATTTTGAAAATCTAAGCAGCTCGTGTTATCCTTAGTAGCATTTTTGATGGTCTTTTTCCATCAATTTCATTAAACAAACATGTGTTCAGATGTACCCCCCCCCCACCCTCTATCTGAAACCTTCTTGCAACGCCCGTATAGCTATGATAATCAAGTACGAGCATCCCGTTTTGAGTTACATTGAAGGATTTCTCTCGAGTGTTGCGGGTATGATTAAGAGTTGAAGCATGAGCCTGACAAATCAATCGGAGAAGCTCTGTCCAGATCTTTCTTAGAATAGGCGGACATAACCTCAACACATAGGAGATTTCTCGCAAAAACCCTTGGGGAAATTGATATTCAGAGATACAGAATAGAATATTTGGGATGGGAGCAAGGTAGAAGAAAATGAAGACGGAAATAGGAAAGTCTCGGTGATGGAATCGGGTATAGAAGCTCAAGATTTCCTCTGAGGAAAGAGAGAGAAGAAAAAATTTAGTCACAAAGAGGAAATGAATCCCTTACTTTTGTTCTCTTCATCCATTAAGAATTACACGATAAGCTTCTTGCGGTTTGTGAATAATCTCTTACCCTGCTATCCATTATCTCATACATAAGGCTTCCTAATAATAATATGATGATGATGATAATAATAATAATAATAAAAATAATAATAATAACAACAATACAATTATAATCGTGATGATGATGATGATGACGATGATACTTCTACTAATACTAATAAGAAGAAGAATAGTGATAATAATAATGATGATAATAATGTAGACTGTCGAAATAAACAAGGAATGTCATGATGTAATTAAAAAATGTAATTTACTGCCGAATCTAGCATTTAATCAACTAATTTTCCTTACAAAGCAAGTAAAGTGTTATATATCCCATGTTCACCCCAATATTGCTAATGTCTTATTTCTGATTAAATTTACGTTTCCTCATTTTATTTCATCCCCATGATAACAGGTCTTTCAACGAACTGATCGGCAACATGCAGGCACTCCAGGACAAGAATTATGGAGACAAAGAAAGGGGAGCAACCAGGTCAGTATCACACAACCCCACCATCACCCCCTATATCAACCCCACCCCATCATCGTCCCCCTTCTTTTAAAATCCTTTAGCTCCTTCTGAGTTCTGACCCCTCCAAATGCATGAAAAGTTGCGAATGTAAGCTCCCCAAACAATAATGCAGGCATGCACTGTGTGTATAACCTCAAAACTACATGGAAAGAATGTGGTTCTTGTTTACAGCTCAGATAAAGATTCGCTAATCATACATTCATTTTCCTCTTCAATTAAAAAGTAACTTTCGATTTTGGACTGTCGTAGTATTGGATTATTGGGTGAATTCCTCAACCATAACCGTCATTTTCTCATGGGATGTCTTATATTCCGGCAATATAATCAAACCTTTAATGCAAACCAGATTCTTTAACATTTTACTCTTATGAATACGCCACAGTTTTACAATGTTAATGCTTAATGTAACAGTAAAATAAAATTCATCTAAAGAACTTGAAATGCTTTTGAAAAAAAAATCATCATCTTTCAAAAGGATGCATTACCATGTTAAGTCTATTTTTTGATAATTTCTTACAACTCACTAAAAAAATGCAATGAATATCAAAACTTTCAATTGTTTTTTTTACAGGATAATTATCTCGTCATGTTTCAAGGGGAGGGACTCCTGTTATAATGCTACATAAATATGTTATAGATACAACGAGTGATGACTTTTCTTGAGGCCTAATTTCCTTTTAATTAAATTCAAGTTCAAAGAAAATACTGCAAATTAAACTGATTTCCCCGTTCTTTGTGATGAAATGAGAACGGGACTGCTGTTACATAATCCCAAAAGAATCCAATTGCGTCATTTGAGATGCAGAAAGTCGTATGGGGAGGAGGGGGAGGGGTAGAATAACGCCCTTTTTCTCTGAGCTGATGCTAATGTTTGATTTTATATCCAGGGCGTTACGAGGAGTTGACAGTACTGACTTTGACCCGATAAAAGGGTTGGTCAAATGGATATCAAAAGTCACAAAACGGTATACAATAAAATTATCTCCTCCCTCCTTGGTTTATTTTCTTCTCCAAAAATTTCTCTAACCTTCCATTAACAAGAGGGTATTTTGTATTGGTGCTTCCTCCTGTTAACACGATGATACTGTGATCAAGTTTGTGAGATTGGGTTGCAACCTTCCATGGTAGAAGGTCAAGATGAACCCTTAAACTCTCCCAATATCTGCAGTGTCGTGGGTGCAATGTTTGACCACAATGAGTTTCATGCACCCTTTTAAGAGGTTAGAAACGCACCTTTAAAGGTGTAAAGGTATTAAAAAAGCACCTCATAGGTTGTTTTATTGTTTCTCTTAGTTTTCATATTGCACCCCTAGAGGTTCTGCATTTGGGACAATTTTAGGGTTCAAAGTTGAAACCGTTTTCATAGTTTCTGTGGTTAGTGTAGTGCACACTTCACACGTGAGACTTATAGGAAATCACGATGAGAGTTTTAAGAGGAAACACTTCTTTCCTTCCTGGTTTCTATTTATTGTGGGGTTACTTTTGTTTACACATCTATAGTATTGCTAATTTTGTCCTTCCCTTCATTTTTTAAATGTGTTGTTCTTCTCCCTTTCATCGGTTAGCATTGGTATAGATCGATGGGTATGACAAGTCATTGATTATAAATGATTGGGTATCAGTTAGTTAGCTCTGAAAACTACTAGGTACGTCTGGAAAAAATTCAGAGCTTTGGTCGAAACATACTTTAAAATAAGATGCTTTCAGCGAGAATATCTCACTTTTATTTGAGTTGTATCATAATAAACTGTAGAAATGAACAAAGAGGTGGATTTTTTTTAATTCACCTCCTCCTAAAAATTATACACATTTCAAATAAGGCGTGTGTATCAATTTCACAGTGCTTTAACAAATGTGCTTAACATTTCAGTTGTGAGAAATGAATAATGGATCTTGTTCAAATGTGAACATGGTGAAATCTTTGATTTTATAAAAAAAAGACGTGCACAAATCCTGAAATGCATGTAATGCCCGAATTCCATTCAGCTTTTACAAAATACCTTATTCTGGCCGATAACCGACAGTTTACTAGAGAATCTTCTTCTTAATTTTGAAACGTGTCCACATAACGTGACCATACGTATTGGTTGTACGTATGAGGAAAATCATTTTTGAATTAAAAGTGCGCCCTCAACACAATCATTCAGAAAATGGATTCAATATGTCTTTGTGATGTTTTCTATATATTGTCTGGAAATAAAATAAATAAATAAATAAATGTTTACATATGATTAGAACAAGCGTCGATGAACTGACCGTCCCCAACAGCAAAGTACACAAGTGAGTTGAAAGAAGAGAAAGTCATTCCCCCACCCCTATACATTAGAAACAACACAGTATATCATTTCCATTGAATTATAATATACCTTAGATGTACCCCGGTTACACCAGCGAGACCGACTCCAGAAAACAAACCGAACAATATTTATTCATCATAGTACTCGGAATGACCAAAAGAGTAGTCGGTTTGTAGTTGGTTGGAATCGGTTTGGCTGTGACTGAGCAGCTAGTCACACCACCAGACAGAAAACAAACCGGACAATTCATTATAGTACTCGGAATGACCAAAAGAGTGGTCGGTTTGTAGTCGGTTGGAATCGGTTTGGCGGTGTAACTGAGCAGCTAGTCACACCACCAGACAGAAAACAAACCGAACAATTCATCACTGCCCTGAATGATCAAAAGAGTGGTCGGTTTGTAGTCGGTTGAAACCGGTTTGGCGGTGTAACTGATGTAGCAGTCACTATTCTAGTCGGAAAACCAACTGGACAATAAATCATATTAACCGGAATGACCTATTGAGTGGTCGGTTTGTAGTCGGTTGGATTCGGTTCGGCGGTGTAATTGGGTGCTAGTCACACCATCAGTCGGACTGCACACCGGCTTCAAACCGACTGATTCTTTGTCATTCGGTGTGATCTATAAATCTTCTGTTCGATCTGTTGTCGGTCTCATTGGTGTGCCGAGGGTATTACACAGGCTACTATCGTTAGCGGTGCCTTATCCATTCATACATTTCTTTGTAGAGTTGCCGTTTTGATATCAAGTAAATTAAATGTGGTCATATTTTCGAAACAGATGTTGTATCATTTGTGGAATGACTTTGATATATTACCTGCATAGATTAGATTTTCATGGTCATGCTCTCTTGAGTTCCGTACAACTATTTTCCATTCTGTCTCATATACATCATTATACCCAATCCATAAACCGGCAATAATGTTTTACATATCGTTTAAGGTAAAGTCTTCATTACACATCACATCATCGATGTACTCTCAATCTCAATTAGATCTCCATCCTATCCTCACCTGGATATCAGCTACGACCAATGGCGGATAATTTTTTTTTTTTTTTTTTTGGGGGGGGGCTGTTTAAAAGTTGCACACGCACACTATTCCGCCCACAATGCAGCGTATATAAAGACTAAGAATATCCATAATGCATAAATAGTCAATTTTCACTGAATTGCCTTCAAACCCAATCAAACAACATCGGTTCCTTGGTTCTGCTTCTTTTCTTGTATAGCTACTACCATACCACGACCAATTGGTGATTTAATAAAGATGTAGATCACAATAGGCCTTTTTATCAGTCGCACTCTATTGTCTCGAGATCATCATTATATCATAGTGTTTTGTTTTTTGTTTTGGTGTTTTGGGATAACTGATGAATTACCAGAGATATAAATATCGACTAAAATTCAACACATAAAAGTCTGATGAACAACCTGTATATATGGAACATAATTTTTGCAATATATGTTATTGCTCCTTCTTATTTTATATTTCCTCTGGTTCCTTTCCTGTCTATTGTGGTTATAATTTTGCCACGTTTGTGCTGCTTCTCAATTATCCGCCCTATTCGTCTGACTTCGTATAAATCGGTTCCCTAATTAGCGGATGAAAAAGAAAAAGAATTAATTCAAAAACATTGATACATGAAAGACGTACCGGTACTATGGTAGGTTTTTTCTAAAGGTGATTAATATTCTAAATGAAAAATAATTAACAAAACTATACAATGATACAGAAAACTTTCATCAGTTGGGGATGATAATAACAAGTAGTTTTTAGCTTCTACCAACCTTATATTTTGTTATGCAAGCTTTCGTCCACTCCTGTGGACTTTCTCAAGCTAAGTGATCATACAATGTTTTCAAATAAAGAAGAATTATAAAAGGCAATAAAACATAACGATTTTGCCACCTATGGTCATCTATATATACCCACAGCTGGTACAATCTAACAATCAACACTCTACAAGAAGATGACAACAAGTTTAAGAAATCGTAAGTGGTCGATGACATTAGCACCATATCATTCATTCGTACATTTTTCTTCGACTGGATGCGGTGATGGTAGCACTAAAGCACCAAACACCAAAGCAAATTCACAGCCAACATTAACCCATTAACATCCTTCTGTAAATGGCCATTCAAACACCTCAGTTTTCTTCACTGCCTATTCTCACCCTTCCTTGGTTATTAATCGTAATCCCATCGCAGTTATTCAGCTATTAACTCTTATTTATTTTATACCGTGTGGTTTACTAACCGTGTGGCTGTATTAACCTGTTTTTCACTTGACTAATCAATAGTTTTGTAATCCATTTTGTGAGTTTGCAGTGCAATGCGAGTCCTCTTTGATAATGAAAATGAGGTTGCGATTAAGTAAAAACAGGAAACTCAAGTCGTGGGTACATGTATGGTTTGATTATAAGAGGTCCAATAACTTGACGATGTTTTCGAAGAATTGAAAGCTTTCGTAGCTTTCGAGTCATTATTAAGTTGGAGAAAACTGAAAAATCAAACTTTAATGATCATTCGGAAAGTATGAAAATAAAAGATTAAAATAAAGGATTAAAATAAAGGATGATGTATCTTAATTCTTTTGGCTACAGAGCCAAATTTCTTTATCACGCTTGGAAGAACAATAACTCCCTTTGCTTGCTTTCAATCATTCATTTTGCAAATAAATATTTGGAACTTACCACTTTACCTATAGCTACGCCAGTAGAATGAAAATAATTACGAGAAAATGTGATTACAAGCTAACATAAAAATGTTCAGAGAAATATACATATCTCGTAAAATGTGTACGATGTAACATGCATGCAATTAAAACTAATTAGCACATCGTTTTATTTTGTATTTTTCAATTTGTGTTATATGAGTTATTAAAAATAAATAGGTATCAATTACATATTTAAGATTTATTGAGAGATCAGTTTACCTATTTGAAATAATTTCCCTATTCACCGCCAATTCAAATAGCAGTCAGATTGAATTTGTAGGGAAGGGATGGTACTCATGACGAAGTCATTCTGCTTGCTTTTCATAACATTATGATTTGTAGTGCCTTGGTTTTGTCATATTATTTACAGGAAAGCAATCGGCTTGCAATTAATTAAAGCTAGCTCATTTTTGAGAGTCACTAGATCCATAAGCAGGTTTTTCGCATGTCTTATATTTTACCATTATTCCTAAATCAACATTTTATGCTAAGTTTGAAAATGTTTATAATTATGACTACCACTCAGAACTCTAGCACTATTAAAGCGGGATATCACATCAAAGTACATATTTTCTCGTCGGGAACTTCCCTATCAAGTTTGTATGCGAGTTCATCGACATGTTTATTTGACAGATAAATTCGCAAAAACATAGGCCTCGTGACGTCATTATCGCTTTCATTTACTTGTGTAAAAATTGCAGAACCAAACAATTTGACCAAGTAAGCGCACACTATCAAAGACTTTTGAAATTAAAGCATACAATCTTAGATTTAGCTAAAGTAACAAGTCATTAGTTTATCGCACAGTATACTAATGCCTTTTACACCAATAGTTCCACTTCGTTTTATACGTTATTCCCTCGCTGAATAAGCCTATGAAGGAACTTTGGCTTTTTCAAAGAATCTAACACAAAGTTTGCATTGCATTGCATTTTCTTATCATACGATGTCACTCTAACAAGACGTGACGAAAGCCTACTTTCCTATGTCAGGCAAATAGCGCCTCGTGTGCAATGAAGATTACATTTTGAAGAAAGAAACCTCGTTTGATATAACTTGAAAAAAGTCGAAATATCGGCAGAACACTAATATTATGTAATCACATTAGAAATAGAATTACGTTTTATGTAATTCTATTTTTCTAAATTGTTTGATTAGGTCGAGCTCGGAGATGGATAATACAGAGATTGCACGAATCAAGCCGATACAAGATGAGCTAGCTGCTATACATCTCAACGATCTGGATATCATCGCTACATTGGGTGTTGGAGGGTTCGGTCGGGTCGAACTGGTAAGAAAACCCATCTCTTTCAAGATTATCGGAAGTAATTTCGAGAAGTCAGCTCACGAGAATTTGATATTTGTCTATCACATGGAAATCTGTTTTGTATTACGTAGTACTTCTCTACATGTGACAAGGATATTGGAATTGTCTTAAGGTTTATTCCTCGAAAGTCTTTGTCATTATGATTCATGTATTCTATAGAAGAAAAAAGAAACATTATGATGAAGGGAGTGATGGATTTAAGGGGAGGGTCAAACGGGGGGAGGGGGTTCCTATCCGAGTATCATTCTTCGAACCACAATACACATTCATGTGCTCAGGGCTTTATTTCGTCAGGGATGTAGAGTTGAGACTTGGGTCAATATTTGGAACTACATTTTGGTGGAATTGTACGGCAACTTTAAGAAATGTTTTAAGAAATAAAAAAAAATATTGTCAGTATTTCGCGAAAAATTACGCGAAAATGATCGTAAAATGCAACCATAATTTTGTGTTTAAATTTCGAGTAACGGTATTGTTGGGGGCGGGTTTAAATTGGGATTAAGGTTTAACATGTAGTCTTTGAAATTTGCGGTGAAGTGATTGTGGACAGAGCCCGTGTCGTACAATCGTTAAACGGAGACATACAAATCAATCACAGACAGGCCTTACTTTGATTGATATTCATGGAAGTATAAATGTTTTGTTTTAAGTCTAAATAACAAGAAACCAAACTTTCACATCTTTGTCTGGTCGCGGTATACAGGTTCAACTGGCAGGCGATAAGCGGACATTCGCCCTCAAGTGTTTGAAGAAACATCACATCGTAGAAACTCGGCAACAGGAACATATCTTTTCTGAGAAGAAGATCATGATGGAATCTAGCTCCCCCTTTATTGTCAAGTAAGTTCCTTCATACATGTTCTGTCTTGGTCAATTTCTAAGTCACCTTTTTATTTTCATGCCTTGAACAAAACATATATTGCTTTTGAGTTAATAGAGAGGACACATTTACGAAAATATAATTATGTGTCAGCCATAGTTTTTCAACTTTTATGTCTGTATTTCTCTATTCCGACAGGGCATTCTTATACGTTATATAAAATCTTAATTTGAGATAGCGCCCACTTTCTTTTGTATTTGCTTAGTGTTTCTATTGTAATAAAAGTTATTTGAAATACCTTTGTACAAGACAACTTCACGCGTAACTAAAATCAATCTACGGTTTACGGGAAATTGTTAATATACGGTTTACGGGAAATTGTTTCTTTCAGATTGTTCAAGACATTCCGTGATCAGAAGTATATCTACATGCTTATGGAAGTCTGCTTAGGAGGAGAGCTCTGGACTATCCTCAGGGACAAGTAAGATGCTCACTTTCAATTTTTTATTTAGAGTCCTTCTGTAGGAAGAGTTTTAAGAGAAGGTTGAGTTCTGTAAAGAGGTGGAAAATAATCTGTGAGCGTTGTCATTGTTTTTATGCAAGTGTGAGAGAACATCAAAGACAAAAAAAGTTCCCTGAAAAGCATGGCTCTTCAAATGCCTTAATATTCTAAATATGGCATGTAACAGCATAACAATCGGGACGGATTTTATGCCACATGTTCATGTAGTCAAATATACATATTCTGTGTACAGTGCTTGTCACTTTACCAAGACTGGGCCATATTTCTTATCAATTTGATGATTCCAGAACCTTGGAGTACACACCAATACGCTATACGCGATCAACTTTTGTGATCGATTCCACACTGTTTCTTTCACAATGCAATCGCATGACCAGAACTCAACTTTATCTTTAAGACATGGACGTCCACATTTTTTGAAATAAAACGGTGTTCATCGTGCTTGAATAATAATGTAATAGGCCTACTGGCGTTGTAACTCTTCTTTAAACAAACACTAGTTCCATCACCTTGTTGCAGCCTGCTGTCGATTGCACTCTGTACATTTGTACAGAGTGTAATGCGTTTTTCTTTCGGTTTTTGTTTTATTGCGAACAAACGTCATTTCAGCTAGTGTTGATAACTAGTCATGCAAGCAGCCTCTTTTAGAGGGAGTTCCACGTAGGCCAATGAAAATTGGTTCACTGCTGCCCAGTTCCATGATGTCAAATAATGTTGTTTTATCTACCACGAATACAGAAAATTCAAGTCATTTATAACATGAAACCAGAAGTAAACATACCAAATGAGCACTTACAGGTTGTGAATGTTACACTCATAATGCCAGTGGGAAAGGCAAAAATGCATGAACATGGAGTAGCAGTATATCTCAAGTAAAAACATACTGCACCAAGTATTACCATGCAGTTCTCGAGTTGAAGGGTCGGGACGCTTCTGCTGTATACGTTAGTATTTCTCCTGCAATCCTATTGAAATCCTTTATCAGCAAATATTATCACACAAGGCATTATATACACTGGGAAATGGTAAATAAATGACTGCCTCTCTTTAATGATTTTAGGAATTGTTAGTTATTAATACAAGAAAACAAGAATCAATATCGTCATTTTTCTTCCATAGGGGTCATTTTGATGACCGGACAGCAAGGTTTTCCACCGCATGCGTAGTTGAAGCTTTCCACTATTTGCACAGTCGCGGCATCGTCTACCGCGATCTCAAGCCTGAGAATCTGCTCCTTGACAACAAAGGCTACGTCAAATTGGTACGTATGGGACTACAAAAATAATCTTGATAATGGAGCTTCGAGTCGAGGGTAGACCAGGGACCCGTTTCACAAAGCCTTTTTTCAATGACAAATGACAAATATCAGTGACAAATCTGCTCATAACCAATCAGAAGCAAGGATTTCAGTAGCTTATAACAACAACTGTCATTTGTCACTGATGACAAGTTTTGTGAAACACCCCCCTGCTCTTCATCGGAGTATTATACACATTCTTGAGAGCCCCGGTAGAGAGCTAGACAGACGCCTTATCCCCAAATATCAACTTTACACTTTACACTATATGCAAGCGAGCAAAATCAAACGAGCAGAAAATACACTTCTAAATAGTAAAATGTTATTTGGCCGTAAAAAATACACTACAAAATATATACAAGATATATATTTGGAGCTTTTGGATGCCTTGCTGTCCAGGGGGGGGGGGGGTGGGGGGTGAACGCCTCTTGTTATTTGTACACCTACAATAATTTGTATCATATTAGGTGTACTTTGCATTTCCACAAAAAGAGTTTTGATCGTGCCTATATCTCTTTCAAAACTTGGCACCAGTGAAGCAATCTTGTTATCACTAGAAGATATTAACAGAGAAATTTCTCTTTTCTGTGATCTACAGGTCGACTTTGGTTTCGCGAAGAAGATCGGTTTTGGTCGTAAGACCTGGACCTTTTGTGGCACTCCCGAGTACGTGGCTCCGGAAATCATCCTCAACAAAGGTCATGACCTGTCATGTGACTACTGGTCCCTGGGAATCCTCATCTTTGAGCTGTTGACCGGAAAGTAAGTGGGATGGACTCAATAGACTTCCATGTACTTGACACGTTGTTGCAATAAAAAGAATAGTTCGGGCGTGTAACTTGATTATTAATGCCTTCTTTAATCTCTTGTGGTGTACAAATAACAATTCAACAACTGTGTTGGTTACCCTTCAAGAATAGGGTGAAACTTTAGGAGTTAAAATGAAACCTGGAAGTCATACCGACAAAAAAACTGCTACAAACAAATTCGGACGATTAGTAAACTGCTGTGTATAATGTCAAGTGTGCGATTCTTAAATGTTGCTTAGCTACCATGTAGTTTCTTGACCAGTCGCCTAAACAAATAACAGTCATAACAAATTACAGCTAAAACGAATCATGTTAGAAAAATCATGTCATTTCATGACAGTAAGGATGCGCTAATATCATTACAAATTTATTAAAAAGCTTTTGGAAAACATGTTTGTAACTTTTGGAATTGGGAGAGCATCACAATCATGGTAGACGTGATGAGTATGATGGTCAAGGAAAGATTACTTCCGGGGACTGGCGTGGACTCACCATCCCAATCGGCCATGTAAGGGCTTTAGAGGATAGGCTGACCTGACCTTTTAGGGGCGTCTAATAACGCCTGCTCGTCTGAAATTTAATTTCAGTTTATTTTTGTTAGAGATGTTTTTGTTATGGTATCTATTACACAGTCGTACTACTGACTTTACTCTGACAAAGTCTGGTGTATAGGACAGATTTGGATTTGTGTTCAATCAACCCGACTTTTCAGGGGCTCTGGGGCTAAACCCTACAAATACAGTGACTACCCTTTTGCACATGACCTATATGGTTTGAGTAATTTTAAGGATAAGGATATATTTATTAATTTCTGCATTTAATTTAATTCATTGTTCTTATCAAAAAATTGTTTCCATCTTTCGTGATTTGTTCCTACATTCATCTGCATGTATTTGTCTTTCGTAAAAAATAACAATTTGATAAATGAATGTTAAAAAAAGAAAAGAAATATGTATTGGAAAACGTTTGGCGTAGCCTTGATGAAGTGACACTGTCTGGAAATTTTCCCAGACTTCAACACCATTTAAATAATTCTCTTTGATCCACAGTCCGCCATTCACTGCCAATGATCCCATGAAGACATACAACGTTATTCTAAAGGGTATCGACATGGTCGAGTTTCCACGGAAGATTCCTCGTAGTGCTGGTAACCTTATCAAGCGACTCTGTCGGGACAATCCAGGCGAGAGAATCGGCTACCAGAAGAATGGCATTAGTGATATCAAGAAGCACAAGTGAGTTGTTTTTAATTTTTATCTGTGCATTAATCCAAAATGTATTCCTCATTTTTTTTTACTTCAACCTTCCATTTCCATATTATTATTTCATTTTCTCTTTGTATAAATGCTCCGTTTAGTTTCGTAAGCTTAAATACCTTTCACACTTTATATATGTACATGTATTCTGTATATAAACGGCTGTAATCCCAACTTATCCCAGACAATTTCCATTACTATATTTTTCAGTATCTTTGATGTTAATTTTTGTTAATTTTCTGTGCATTATGTCCATGTTGCTTCAAAATAAAAAATTTATACAGAATTTAAATGAATTGAATTGTTTTAATATTGCTTTTCATATTCTCCTTTTTTCTTTACATATTTTTTGTTTACTCTTTTTATCATTTTTATCTCACGTAACTAGTCTCTTTATCAGACTCTATTTCCACCTTGTCCACTTTTAACGGCTTTAAAAAACATCTAAGAGTCGACTGCCATTACTTAAAAACTTTCTTATTTTCTTTTTCAGATGGTTCCAAGGTTTTGACTGGGAAGGTCTCAGGAAGCAAGAAATTGCCGCCCCTCTTCCTCCAAAGGTTGGTATGGTGGCCTAACTGGTTAATTTATTGGGGCAGGGGCGCTAGGTGGGGGCCGGGGGAGGGGCGCACACTCGGCTGTGCCATTCCCCGATCATGCATACCTTTAGTACATTATGACATCTCTTTCATCTCTTTGAAATGGCAGTCTGCATGTAGGGAATTATGCAATTATGCACGGGCATGAAATATCGCCCATAATTATTTCCATACTACCCTTAATAATTATATTTTGTTTCACACTGTGTTTTTTTAAATAGTGTGCTTTTTTCTACGATTGGTCCACTTTCAGATTTTTAAAATCGCATTGTTTCTTCTTTATTTATCAGGTGAAAGGCTCAAGCGACTGCAGCAACTTCGACAGCTACCCGAAAGATGTCGATATCCCGGCCGATGAAACGTCGGGATGGGACGAACACTTTTAAACGCGAGCCGAAACCCGCCCGAAGGCTAACGGAACCCCATCCGATTAAACGACGGATAGGGCCGAATCATAGAGCTATAGCTCTATGGGCCAAACACATCTAAACGCGCATCGGAACAATGCGATGATTGTCGAAGCCCTATATCAATGGAGACTAAAGTAATGGCCGAAGGTTGCCGAAGCCGGATAGGATGACTGGGAGAAAAAGGACGAAAACTTCTGGAAAAAGCCCCTTTCCACCGAGACAAATTTGGCAAAATCAGGGCTGTATGAAAATATTCTTATCCTGGAGAAAGCAGACAAATGATGATTTAGATGGCGAGTACCAAGCCAATATTCAAAGATAGATGTACGCATAACGTACGGAAGGAAATTCTCTTCGAGACGTACCAAGTGGGAAGACGTATATATTGACCAGATCCAATGTATGAACATTGGATAAACAACTTGTCGCCAGCAGGATGCGCAGAGACGAATGTACTTTCAACTCGGTGAATGCAACAGTGTTCATCTATTTTACGGCGAATTGTGGAATGAACAATTGTCATACTATTGACTTTTATTTCCTAAACTTCTTGATGAAAGTGTTGTACTTTGGATATATTAGCTAAGAAAAAGACAGATGTACATATATTCACTCACAGATACACAGTGCCAATGGCGTGAATGGAATCAATAAATGTTACTTATTATATCCAGCTACATGTAACAATGTGTATTTACAGACTACATGCATATATCTGGTTGTTGAATTTTAACAGCATTGAATAAATTCTTATTGATGGATTAGTCGAACGAGGAGCATGTGATGGATCGCTCCATTAGTTACCATGGAAACATAAGCAAGCGCCATGGTTATGTTGCCATGGAAAACACTCCACAGAGAGTATTGAAATTATTATTGTAAGGGTAGCAACTTACATCATGCCAGCGATTGTAGGCCTACTAGGCTGTTACTACGGTGTTTACCTTATCAAACGATTTGATTAGGAAAAATACAATTTTCAAAAAGATGTACTTAGGAAGACTAAGTTTATACATATACATGTATATTTAAGGATACTTAAATAGTAGTTTATTATCGATACATGTATTTGTAAAGTAGGATTATATGTGAATATCAATTTGAGATACGAACAAGTATACATATATATATATGTTAGTAATTCGGATGGTTTGCAGCGAGTCTACGCATTATGCGCTAGATTATGTTTTAGAGATAAGCCTGACATAGAAAATACAATAGATTTAAAATTTCATCCCAAATCATTTGTTTTCTATATGGCCTTATCATTTTCCGCACAAACAACGTGCTAGCATTAACATTCACACAAGGAATCTTACGCTGGTATAAGCTTTAAACTTTACGCAGTGTAAATGTCATAGAAGAAACAGGGCCTTTTAAAACGTTTCTTATTGTATTTATGATTACTACTATACGAGCACTTGTAAATATGGCTTTGTATATATTTATTACTGAGAGATGCATTCTACTATTATGGCGACATTTTATATTTAATAGCCTTATCATATTTTATTTGTGCGGGTAAACGACAAATTGAAAGAAAAGAAAGTATGTTACCATGTTTCAATCGTGTCTGATTGGGTTTTAATGCAAGTATTTGATTAGGTAGTCTTATAATGGATGTCAATTTTTTGTTTGACCAAATATCTCCTCATATAATTATTGTTGATTTATTGATATTATTTGAAAAGTGAATATTAACCATGGAAATGTGATTGAGTAGGCCTAAAAATTCAAGATGAATAAAACAGGTTATTTTAAATGATACAATTGTAACATTTTGATTAAAAGTAATTATACTTTAATTTTGAAAAACCAAAGTGTTTTACTTGATATGAAAATTATTATAAAACCATGTGCACGTATCTCAATTCTAGAATGATTACATGATAAAAAAGGAACATTTTTTTACTGTTTTTTTTTTCTTCATTTGATTGTTAACTCAAAAGGGTTAATTAAAACAAAAACTAAATTATTGTTCGGTCATTTTGATATTCAAACGTGTCTGTTCGCATATTGTGAAGATAAGAATGATTTGATTATGCATAAAAAAAGGGTGTATTTCGCATTACTTTTTAAAGCTACCATCCACACAGGTTATTATGAATAATATACATTCGGTATTTCTAATTTTTGTTTAATCAAAGAAACATTCGATTTCTTATCATGTATACTATCATTAATTTTTCGGGTCATGTTTCTAATATCGCAATTAGCAATCTGTGATACTCACATAAGACTATAACGATCATACAATCGACTTCATGAATCAATTTATGTCATTGTAAATAATATATTGATAAATGTCAAATGTGTGCTAAAATATGGATGAGGATAAGAGGACACAATCTCTTCAATTTGTTTATAATTTACTGAAGAACTTATTTTACAGCGGGATATTATTATTTCAATTAGCAGCTATCGGAATCAGAAATTATACTAGCACTACGAGGCATTATCGGGGCAAAATATATTTATTGTATGACAAATTATATGTAGTGAATAGTGACAAACTTTGAATGGTATAATTATCATTACTGAAATTTAATGGATGTATAATTATGATGATGCAAAATTTTGTATAAATCACTTCCTTTTTTCAATTTCGAACAAAAGAGAACAAACGTTTTCTGAAAATATTATTTGATTTGAAAATGATATGAATTGATAATTGGAAATTTTTAGGAGAATAATAATGGAATATGTATTAAACATGTAAGGGGGTGTTTTGTATCTGGATATCAACTAATCTGTAACATTAAAGAAAATATATGGACATGTTTTCGCTGTTCTATAAATTTGCGTCACGTTTGCCAACTGTTTGCGTAATTTGAAGTATAAAAGTTGATGCAGCACAAGAAACTCGATATCGAGCACACAAAGAAAAGGCAGAATGATGCCTTATCCACAAGACCACTGTGCTTCACTGTTATTAACTTGTTCGGTTCAAGATGTTAACACTTTCTGATGTTAATGACTTTAAAAAATATGCTGATAAACTACTTGTACTCCTTTGTTGAGGAGGTGGGGGAGGCCCCTAAAAAAAAGGACAAATCAATATGAAGAAAAAAAATGCTTAAATAACACGAGGTAGAAAGGCATAGCCGGGAATCGAACCGTGTACATCTGCATTGTGAAGCGATGTCTTATCCACAAGACCACTGTGCTTCACTGTTATTAACTTGTTTGGTTCAAGATGTTAACACTTTCTGATGTTAATAACTTTAACAAAAATGCTGATAAACTAATTTTACTCCTTTGTTGAGGAAGAGGGGGAGACCCCTAAACAAAAAAAGAGAAGGACAATCTTATATGATGAAAAAAAAACATGATTAAAAAACACGAGGTAGAAAGGCATAGCCGGGAATCGAACCGAGTACATCTGCATTGTGAAGCGATGTCTTATCCACATGACCAGTGTGCTTCACTGATATTAACTTGTTCGGTTCAAGGTGTTAACACTTTCTGATGTTAATGAGTTGAGTTTGAGTTTGAGTTTGTAGTTTATTATCCAAACAAAAGTACATCAATATAACAATCAAATGTGAATAGTTATATATATATATATATATATATATATATATATATATGTATATATATATCTCTCTTCTGCTATTCAGTACAATAACATACATGTACCTACTTATATTAAAAATTAAAAGAAAAAACAACCTTGATGAAATATGACAATTTCTCTAAGTAAAATATATAATTATTATTACATTCAGTGTCGGCTTTTTACAATTTTATGTATCGACCTGCCTTGGGAATAATTAAGGCACCTATTATAGGAAGGGCATGTCCTTACAGAGCTCTGTATTCGGCTGCAATTAAACTAGTTTGATTCGAATTTATTTCCGCATAAAAAGAAGTACAATAATCGAAACATTACATAATGTACATACATATACCATACAAGATAAACGGCCGGATGGCCCTACTAATGGTATTTAACACCAAAATACCATACTTTTTCACTGTATACATCCCTTTTGTCGGAAACGGTTTCATACATACTAGCCTAGGCCAGTTTATAGTGTGAACAACCCAAAGACCAAATACTCTTCTTACATTTAAACCAGGCGCAGGGTTAAAGCTTTCGTTCAAAATCGGGTTTAACTAAAGAAGTTCCAATTTTTTACCTTTTTTTTTTTTTATAGAAAATCATGATTCTGATTTTAGACCCATCGTGAGGTTTTATAAATTGAGTTAGTAGAAAACGGACCTTACAATTTATAATTACAATTTTGTCGCGGAACACATTATTACATTAGGAGTGTGTGCGTGGAATGGGTAAATGAAACTGATAAATGAGGATCATCTCTTTCTTATATTTACATTTCGTTCTGTCAATAAAGTTAGAAATAAACAAATTACTACTTGCGTTACAATGCCTAACGCATGCATCATCATGATTTGTATGTAGCCTTATAGACGCTAAAATGTCAAACAAGCATTTTTTTCCCTCTTCTTCTTAAAAAACAAACACGAACGAACAGATATCCTCATCAAATATTGACATTTCTTTGGCAAGTAAAATACTATAAAAACAGCCTATCAATTATACGACATCTAATTAGACAATATAGGCGTATACATAAAACCTAAGTAAATAATTTCGTGCGGTTTGAAACCAACGAAGGTCTAAAATTTGTGTAAAGACCCCATTGGACCGCTTTCTTATTTTTGTATTCTTAGTTGACGTCATTACAAAAGCATCATGCAACAAATCTATAGAAAAAAAAACGAGGAAAGAATTATTTGAAAATGTCCTTTTCAATAAACTATATGACAAACATGCATTTCATATGTGGCACATAAATAGCTTAAATAAACCAAATAAGGCGGTGGTAAGTAAACCGGAGGTTGGACAAATGTTAAATATCGTGTCAGAATCTTTATTTTTTAAAGTTTTTTTTTGTTCAATGTTTGTCACTCCTGACAACAGTCTCACATAACGATGTATATGTATGTATGTATGTATATCGATGTATATCATAACTATGTTTATTAAGCAAATTCTAAATTTTTCTATATATCTTCAATGATAAACGGTGCCATGATGTTAATATGTTTTGTGCCTCTTCATATTAACCACAGTCATTTGTCCCTATTATTAACCCCTTTTTTGGTTTTAAATCATTACTATGAGTAAACACACCAAAAATATCTCCAATGAGTTTAATTTGCAAGGTTTTTTGCCAATAATATACTGACCAATATCATATTACAATAACTTCACTTTGAAGACAATACCCTTCAACTCAAGTATTTAATAGTTTACTTGGTCATAAAATTAGTTTTGCTTTACAGTACGCACATAAATACACATCCCATAAACTTTAAAGGGAAATGGTTAGTGAAATACACATAAACCTTCAATAAGAATGATAACAAAAATATATCTATACCGCATTACGAAAGGCCTATAAGAATCAGAGATATTTAGCATACATGAAGCTATAGAAGATAAGATTTAAAAGCATTCCTTATCAGGTCAGTTATCAAATAAAATGACATCTTTTTGTCAATTGATGTTAACAAATCTATAATAATACTTTCAAGTTTATTCCAAATTTTCACTGGGAGATTTCTTAAGTACACGCAGTTTCGAGAGAACACAGTCCCACTCAACAAAGCAGGTCTGTAGGTGGCGCTCCACACTTCCGATATCTGTTGAAAAAGCACTACGCCCGTGCAGCATTCGATGATTGTTAAACGTAAGGATATCACCTGCAGACGAAAATCAAAGGAACAGAGAGAAAAATAGAAAAAACATGATCGAAAAGAAATCAAAATAAAAGATCTGAATAACCTAGTGCCGTCTACCTTTTAAAATTTTCGAACAGTATTTTTTAAAAAGAACATTAATCCGAATATAATATGATAATACGATATTAAATAAATAAATATTAAAATTGCCCGTAAGCTAGGCTGCGATCATATTCAGTGTATTTTCTTATCCTTTTTTTTATGAGAGAAAGTTGACTTTTATCCGCATAATTGGGACCGCCTAACTGGGACCGCAAAACTTGGACCGCCCAACTGGGACCGCCTAACCGGGACCGCATAACTGGAAACGCCTAACTGGGACCGCATAACTGGGATGACAATCCACTGGAGCATAAGACACCACCCGCCCGCCCCGCCCCCAATAGTCGTCAACCCCGACCCCTCTGCCCATCACATCGTTTTGAACAGTGGTAAATGAATAACAACAATATGGCGTCCATTCCTATTAAACAGGTAACATGTTTATTTCTCATAAACTATAAAATACTAGTGATCAGAATATCAATTAACTTGTCACACATGGAATTATCTGTTTAATATCCCAAATATAGACTGGGGTAAAATTTTCTTAGTTCCTGTTAGGTCATGTTTATCTACACGGATCCGTAATTTTCAGTTTAAGATACTAAATCGTATAGTTGGTGTTAATAAATATCTTAGATTATTAAATATTTCGCAGTCAGACCTATGTTCATTTTGTTATAGCTCCGTGGAATCTATAGAACATTTATTTTGGGATTGCCCAATCGTTAGAAGGTTTATTGCGGATGTCCAACATTTCATTTTAGAGGATAAAGTTACTTTGAATAAAATTAATTTCATATTTGGGTTTTATGGAAACGTTGGAGTTCAATTTAATTTTATTATTTTATATGCCAAATACTATATATTTTCCAGCAAATGCAAAAAAAGCGTACTCTCACTAAATTCTTTTAAATGCATGTTAAGGTATTATCGTTCTCTTGAACAATACATTTATGTTAAAAATAACAAATTTGTATCATTTGATAATAGGTGGAAAAACATTGTGTTGCTTAAAAAAGAAATATTTGTCTTGTATAATCGGCTATATTCTTGTTGTTGATTCTATTGGTTATATTATGTATGTATATTCATATATGTTCTGTTATGTTTTGTAAAGTCGAAAGCATTATTGAATAAAGATTATTTTATTAAAGAAAGAAAAAAAAGAACTGTTCACACAGTGTGACATATCCCAATGCTTAATGACACAAGTTTTTGACCTAACAAGTTTGATCAAACCGGTATGTTGTTCGAAATTTGCTGCGGAGACAACTGTATACCCTGCGCTTTTTTTGTGTGGAAAGAATGGGGTTAGGGTCAGGATGGTAATTGGGCTTTAGGGTTAAGTATTATTTAGTGTTGGAGCCAGCCCGGGGGGGGGGGGGGAGTTAGTCGTTCGATTAGCGTAGCAAATACCACGCAGTAATAATCGCAGGAGTTTGTGTCTTTATACATTTACAACATGAATTTTAGACTTCGACAGCTGAGTTGTTTGTATTAGACCAATAAATATTTGTTTTCCCTGATACTAAATATAATTATGACCTCAGTGCAAATTGAGTCAATAAACAACCTACACGGCAGGTACTTTGATATAAATAAATCGTCAGTACCTGCTTTCATTTTGTATTTGAATACGTTATCATCTCGCAGAAGGATCTTGTTGAAGGCCTTTATTGCAGAGAACATAGGTATGACGTCATCAACTGGGACACGGAATAGAGAGGCGTGGTATATCTCGTTGAAGGTGATCTGTTTCAGCTGGCCTAATGCATCCAATCTGAGAAAAATACGATGGAAATGAAGTTGGTAACTAATATTAAACTTGAATTAAAGTACATTTTCACAAGTAATTGACTGGTATTCTATTTAATTAGTGGATGACTTGTGAGGTAGTAAAATGATAAGCTCTGATATGCTTGATAACAGCTTTGCTAACTTACAAAATTACACTATGGTATTTTTTATAAAAACAAAGGAGGGGTGGGGGGTCGCCCCTTATGACCAACGTATAATTAAGATTGTTTACGACTTTGATATTAATTTGTAGCCTACCTCATCACCTCCATCTGTAGATATCAGGAAGGGAAAGAAGCAACTTTTCCAGAAGTAACTTTTCTGTTAAATTTCTTTGTAAAAAGGGGGTCGCCCCCATAATCAGGGTTACTGAAATAACTTCACTCAAACCCTAAAGATATTTCCAGCTTACCTAATCAATGGGTGTCTAGCGTGATGATAAAAGCCTTGCTGAGTTATCTTCTTGTTGACTGATATGGCGACATGTTCTATCTCGTGTTTGGTAAGCATATTGAAAGCGTCGTGGTGATCCGTCTTCAACTCCATGGCGGCTTTGAACCCGTCGATGAGCAGGCTGTCGCCGCCCACCGTGGATGTGTTCTTGATGCAATGGAAGAGGGCCACCTGTCCAAGTTAAAGAGAGTTAAGGTCTTATCACTTTGATCATTCCAAATCTGTATTATCCCGCCCCCACCCCCTCCCCCTCCCACCCCCTCTCCGGGAACGGAGGGATCGCATTCATGTTCCCAGAATCTTCAGTAATGGGGTACTTTTCAGGCAACAAAGTCAGGCTCGTAATACACAAAAATTCGGCCTGTATTAACTTTACACACCGGACTTAAGGGGCGCTTTCAAAGCATGGACTGTCCATGTTCAAAGGGAGGAAACATGCATACGCGTACCCTAAATAGTAAATACCACTGAGTAGGAGGGGAGGGGATGTATTATACAGTATTTTAGAATGTCTTCTAATTTCTAGTTTCTTTCCCAATGTAATGGCATAACTAGTACTTAACGTGGTCAACTTCACTGTCCCTCTGATAGGACGTTAAATGGAGGCTCCGTGTAGAGGAGACTCACCATCTTTGCATGTTAAGAACCCGCTGCACCACCTGCACACCCCAAATCAGTTAAAACTAGGAGGAGAGACCCATGCATGGGTTTATACAGTGATTCAGTTCGCTTTCCGCCTCTCAGGCACAGGTAATGCCAAATACTTAACAATCAAAATAAATATTTGGGTTGGAAGTATATCTTACACCATGATTTGAGCTAGCAAATCATATAACACTTGGAAATGACACATAAGGATAATATCAACTTGGAATAAAACATTAGTAATTATTGCCATTCAAACTACATTTCAGGACCTAAAGTAGTTCCTTTTTTCGAGTAACATTTTTTCTTCAATATTGGGAATGTTATTAATGCTAGCTGAATTGTTCATCCTCTGGTTATCAAGTATTAGAAGAAAAAACAATCGATACATTCCTGAACAGGACATTTTTTCGATTGTATAGTTTTTCTTATTAACACACCACCTGAGGCACTTGTTGCTTATGCACCACCTGTTAGTAGTGTGTGGACAATATTAGCAACAAATCTACAGGTGCCGTTGTCGAGTGGTTAAACCGCCGGACTCTCGATCACAAGGTCCGCGGTTCGAGACCAGCCGCTGCACTAATATCCTTTGGCAAGACATTGATCTACATTTGCCACACTCAACCCAGGTGATGTAAATGAGTACCTGGCAGGAATATTCTTTGAAATGCTAGAGCGCCGCAATGGAAGCATAGCTAACGTCGGGGGTAATAATCTCCAAGTTTGGAAGCGCTTAGTGATTCTAAAAATTAAGCGCTATATAAAAACTGAGTATTATTAATATTATTATTAAATCTCACTCTTTCCACCTCTACGTAAAGTGGATCTCGCAAAGTAGCCATGGAATTTCACAGGGGCTTCATTCTCTCAACGTGTGTGTTAATGCGAACATGAGGATCTAGCTATCTACAACAACCCCCACCCAACAACAAAATAAAAATGACTTTTACCACCCATACCTCCAGGGGGGCATTTCACAAAACTTGTCATCAGTGACTAATGACAATTTTTGTTATAAGCTACTGAAATCCTTGCTTCTGATTGGTTAGCAGCTGATTTGTCACTGAATGTTGTTATTTTTCATTGAAAAAAGGCTGTGTGAAACGCCCCCAGGTCTCAGGACTTACCCCGGGAGGGCTGACGTAGTAAGAGAAGTCTGTATGAGGCATGAGATAGCCGTTAGAAAACCCCAGCATGTCGCCACCTTCAACCACCATGACGTCACTGTGTGTGCTGCCAGGGAGGGGGGGGGGGGGTAGAAACAGATTCAGAGAAAAAGAGTTGATATTTTCCCCAAAAATTTACATGATTATGCAATATTTTCAACATATGACAGCCCTAAATTATTATTTTAAAAAGAAGTTCATCATTATGAAGCCAGCGAATTAATACCGATATTCCTTATCCTTCCATTGGTCAGTTCTTACACTCATAACAACAATCTATTTCTTTCTTTAATCACGTTTGCAAAAGTGGTTATAATACATCTTTCAGAAATATCGGGAATGCGTATTTGCAGTATTCAAGATAAATTATTCTACAGTTTATTTTAGAACCCATTTCTCGTACTCGATGAAAATATGCGTTTTATTTCATGTTTTAAGATAAATCTTAAAATGAGAGGGAGCACTACACAATAATTGTTTAATGCTTCGCCATGAGAGCCTTTAATAATTGAGCTTCTTGTGAGCCCAGGTGAAATGGGGGGGGGGGGGGGCGGGGCGTAGAGGGCTACTTGGGAACTGTCTCTTACCCAAAAGTACTAGGTGTGATGTATCCGACGCGATCAGCCAGTTTATGAATCTGATGGGACATTTTTGGAGCGTTCTTAACAAGCGATATTCCAAGCACCTGAGTAGAAACAGAAAATTCAAATTATTGATAGTATATATACGGAGACCTTCAAGATTGAAATGAAGCCATTATGATCCGTACTTTGTAGAGTCTAGTTCAAGAAAACGAACACTTGGATCTCGGTCTATCTTCCTTTAACTTTGAAAAACTAGACGGAATTTAGACCGAGTTTAAACTTGTAAAGTACTAATCCAAAAAATAACTATTTTCCAAGGACCGTTTCTGTGGAACACTCTTCCTCATTACATTCATAATTCTGCTATTGTAAATTTATTTAAACGTAGGTATAACAAAAAAAAAAATCTTTTGGGTAAATTGCAATGATCTTTTGAATTCAAGACATATTTTATTTGTTTGTTTGTATGTATGTTTGTGTATTGTATAATGTTTAGTAACGAATATATTTCATATTTTTATTATAAAAAATGGTCAACCTTTATATAAGGATTGTGTTTCCGTTCAGGTTGTAACCTATTCCGTTTATTTTATGTCCTTGTCCAATATGTTCGTGATGTGTATTTTATGTTATAAAGCTGATTGTTATACGAAATGTTGTCTTTTTAACTGAATGAAATAAAATTGAATTGAATTGAATTGTATTCAAATCAGCATCAGGTTTCACTTTTAATATATAACCAACCAAAGATTACCTGTCGTTTAGAAAAACAAAATAAAACACGTTTTTATTCAACGTGCACCGAGCAGACAATACTAAGTTTCTGAAAATCGTTCAATGTTTAATATTTGACAATAACCAAGATCAATCATCATATGCCATAATTATCAGGACCGTCAAAACACGATATTGTGTATGTTAAGATACACGCAATATGAAAATGAAATGGCTTATTCTCAGGCTATGATTATGATATATTCGCCAGTTTATTCAAGTTTACTTAAGTTTAGAATCCCAGCGTGCGACCCAATCTCAGCCAACTTATTCTTATTTTGCAATTTAATTTACTTTTACATCATTTTATGTTTTGTTTTTAAATAAGATTTTCCAGATACTGAAGAAGTATCACCATCCACTCTCCCATTGATTTGACAACACAATCATCAACGTAGCATCTTGCTAGATCATTAAAAGCAGATTTGCTTTAATCTTAAAATAGGTCATTTTTGTTAAATGTGACCAAATTTATGCATATGCCTTTGTGAAGCCCCTTGATACGATTCATTTCATTTACCTCTTACGACAAAAATTTATCTCAATAGTCAGAATTCAAATTGTATACTTAGTTGTTGCTAGGTAAAACAAACAATAGGGCTTGTTTTACATAACAAGACGTAATATATCCGATTTGCATTAAAATGTATTCTGATTATTGAAATACAATCATTTGTAACAGGTGAATAAAATTGTCCGTATTGAGGCATTATACATTTGCTTACAGTGCCAAAATGGCATGTTTAGAACAATTTCATTTAGGATTGCTACTAGGGTTAACGTTCTCTATTTAGCTAGTCTCACCTTTATTTCGGAGAGCCAATCCAAAAGCGCTTCATCCGACTGCATCAGTTCATCGAATTCAAACGTCCTGAGACGACTCGACGACATGACGTCGGACCCCCAGAGATCGAGCTTGGCGTCGGCCACGGGATCGCGGTCGGACTGGTCGAAACGGTTACATCGAAGCCAGTTACTGGGGACACTGGTCATGTGGCCATCGCTCCATTTGATGGCAAGCACCTGACCGTCTTGGGTGATGGAGACGACGTCGGCTTGGATGTCCAGATCGAGATGCTGTTATATAACGAGGAGAACTCATCTCTAGGTAACTAATATCAAGAGCCTGTAGCCCCATATGACTAATTTTGGGCAAACTTTACGTCGCATGCGGGGGGGGGGTGGCTAGTTCTTTATGTTTTTGACAAAATAATAATAAAAATTATGTATAACGTTTTACTCGCTTGGTTTGATCTATCTTAAAATTAAAAAAAATGAAAACCAAAGGTCACGCAATTAAGTGACATCGGGATGAGTCAAGAAGCCTCATCGATACAGGCCTGGCACAGTCGCCCTGAGAGAGATTCGTCGCTACCAGAAGAGTACTGAGCTTCTCATCCGAAACCGATGAACACGTCCCACTGGAAACTGGAGCCCTGCACGGGATGACCCCCCCCCCCTCCCACGCCAAAACATTGCCCATACGCCTATTGTGAATACGCCCTAACAAATAGTTTTTACCGATAGTTCCACCACAGAATGATACCAATGGAATGATACCCATGGACAAATTTAGCAAGAAACATGACTGCAAAGTGAGATGACATGATGTAGATTCGTTACCATGGCTTCAAAAGGGCAAAACAAAATGACTAAACCACATTTAAAATTGCATCGTCTAGTCTGAGACGCTTCAAGGTGTTGAGGTAGGACAAATTAAAGAAGAAACAAACTGAGTATGTTTTCTTTTGTCTCGATTTGGTCTATTTGATCAATTTGGCCATCTCGTCGATCAATTGACTCCTCCTCCTCTTCCTCCTCCTCCACCACCCCCACTACCTCCTCTTCCTCCTCCTCCACCACCACCACCACTACCTCCTCCTCCTTCTCCTCTTCCTCCACCTTTTTATCCACCTTTTTCTCCTCCTCCACCTCCTCCACCTCCTCCTCCTCCTCCTCCTCCTCCTCATCCTCCTCCTCCACCTCCTCCTCCTTCTCCTCCTCCTCCTCATCCTCATCCTCCACCTCCTCCTCCTCCTCCTCCTCCTCCTCCTCCTCCTCCTCCTCCTCCACCTCCTCCCCCTCCTCATCCTTCTCCTCCACCTCCTCCTCCTCCTCCTCCTCCCCCTCCTCCTCCTCATCCTCATCCTCCTCCTCCACCTCCTCCTCATCCTCATCCTCCTCCCATCCTCCAACCGACATTCAAAATGAGTTAGCAACGCCCTACATACTCACCTGTGTATACTTAAGTTTGCCGTGAGCTCCTTTACTGTAGCACCCTTCACAGTGACAATTACTCTTGAGCCAGACATTGGGGTACCTCTGACTGTCCCCGTCCTCCCATTGGACAACCACCATTTTGGCATCCGGGTCCTTGCTGACGTCAGTGATGGGAATCGACCTCGACCAGTTGTGGTCGGCGTAGAGGGCAGCGTGATCGTCGAACGCGGAGCTCGCTGGCTGGGCACATCGCGAACTAGTGGTCGTTATCTTTCTTGATGGAACTTACGAATACAAGACGAAAAAACACATAATGATGGTGATGATTCACAGCATTTACATATCGCCATATTTCTGTCAAAATTATTCAAAGGCACAGGCAAAGTCTGTATTCATATTTTGTGGATAAGAAAGAAAAAAATTAGATTTTTAGGTGACATTTCCTGCCAAGCAAACATTATTTACACCTAAATTTGTTGCGCTGTAGAGGCACATTTTATCATAATTAATTTTTTCTTAAGATATTACTCATTCTATTTTGTGGGGAGAGGGGGGGGGGGGGGTATGTACCCCTTGTGTCCCATGGATCTGCCATTAGTTACAAATATGTTAACTTTATTGAAATCAAAGTTATTGATTTAGTATACACCCTTTTGGATTATCTTTGATATTGAAGTAGATACAGAAATAAAATCAAAATAGGTAACAAAGTAAACATTGATTTTTTTTTCTCCAATAAATTCGATTGATCTGATTTACTTTGCACCACTCCTCAAGATCAAACATCATAAATCAAGATGTTATCATGGAAAATCGAGCACTAATACCGATATTTTTATTTATCTGCTGTCCTATCTGCTGTCGCTGCCCTATAGAGTGATGAAGTGTGACGTCATTAAAAAAAAATCTATTTTGGGAATTTCTCAATTTTTTCATTTCGTTGACAATCAGCCGTAAACGAAAGACTTCATGCATGGCTGATTGTCAACGAAACGGAGTTAAGTCTGCATGTTGCTATGGCAGGCACCCAGTGAAAACGAATTCGTTTGATAAAATTATGGAAATGCAAGCGCTACTTTCAGTGGCGGATCCAGGGGGGCCGGGGGCCCGGCCCCCCCCCCTTGAGAAAAAAACATGTAAAAACACGTGATTTTTATCTTTTTGGGGGGTTGGCCCCCCCCCCCCTGGCGCTCAAGGGGGGGGGGGTGCAAATTGAAAAATTTTCGAGGACCAAAAAAAAAAATGTGCTCACTACCCCCCCCCCCCCCCCCCCCACTGAGCGACTTTTCGGCAGGGTCACACCGGCGCGATTTTCAAATTTTCGGGAGCAAAAAAAAATTAAAAGTTGGGCCCCCTCCCTGGATCCGCGCCTGACTACTTTAAACAAACAGAACTTTGTCAGTGCTTGCTCATTTTTCCTGATTGAGGTGTCATATGAAAGGGCAGAACCTCAACTTTCTAGAAATGTGATTTTCTCTTAGAAATTCAGATACCGTCCGCCAAAGGACTTTTTGGTTTTCTCTCTTCAAAATAATTTTAATCACTCATGCGTGAAATATGCATCAAATGAAAGAGGAGGATCTAAGCTTTCCAAATATGTGTCATTTATTAATTATAAATGTAACTAAGTTATGATAAAACATCGATAATTCTCGGTTTTGTCTTTTCTGGGACGCACTATATACATGTCAATTGTAAATGTTATTCACTTATATTTAAAAAAAAAAAAAACTTAAACAAATCTGGAGGTAATTTTACTGGAACACACACACACGCACACACACACGCTCACATAGTCACAGTGGTCGTGAGTTTGCCAAATATCAGCATGATCGTAAAATCCTACTACAAAGATAAAGCATTATCATATCAATAAATTTAGAAAAGAACACAAGTTCTGTTATCAATCTTTTTAGTATCTTAAGTTTATTTGCTAGACTGGCATTGTTCTATTGTGGGCTGTAGCATATACAAAGAACTGAGAGGAAAAAAAAGAAATTTAAAATACAAAGCTAAGAATTAAACTGAAAGAAAGAAAAACAACCAGATAACGCTTGATTTCAAACTCACAAGCGTATCACTACAGTTCAGTTCATACGTGAAGGTAAGTAAGCATGATAAGCGCAAAGTAGACGACACTAAAACAAATCCACCTTTGGTCAGCCTCGTTAGATTATTTGTATAAATGGAAACATGGGCTACGATTGCAATTCAACGTCCCCCCCCCGTCCCTTGCTCTCTCAGGAAACCAGGCATGTAGGGGCTACCCCTTGGAATTCGGAGCTGACCTCTCAAACAGCAATTCAGCAATTCACAAATCATGAAATCATGCTTTTTGTTAAGTACCAAGGATGGGACAGATGACAGATTACCATTGCATTTTACCAACAATGGCACAATTTTGAACAACGCGATCAATACGAAAGCAATAATTAAGCCAGGTCACGGTTGCATTCTGAGCATGAGCAGATAAAGGTCATTGCAGACCAAATTGTTAAATACACGGAGACAAAATACTTTAATCATTATTTATTTATGTACAAGCGGTGCGTTCCATTATACACAGGTCGAAGTATTCTTTGAAAAGGGTAAACAAAGGCTATTTATGTAGCACCTCCCTCGCTGTAGGAGTGAATATTTCAAAACGTACAAAGTGGGACCTCTTCATGTTTTGAAGATCTGTGGATATTCGAGGTCATTTGGGACATGTGTTAATAATTTAACTTCTTTACCAAAGAATTAGTGGAATTCTAACCACCCTTTTAAGCATTGTAGTACGAATATCATTTTAAGAATCGACATGAATCTTACTTCATGTCCGAAGTTCTTAGCTACAGTCGTACCTTTAAGTTGATACCCATTAAATGGTAATTTTACACCTTTTACAAGGTTTTTTTGTACCGAATAGCCATTTTCATGATGTAATGAAATTAAATGCACAAACCTTTAAGTGCCTCGTTATGAACTATTTCATTCACGTGTTACATTACGTGTTAAGGTAGGACAAGCCATAATGTTTGTCCTACCTAGCAACAGTTAATGTATACAATTCGCATTCTGACCATTGAAATACAAATATTTATAAAAGGTAAATGAAATCATTCATAACATGCACAGTTAAAATTTTTGTGAACAAGTTGTTTAAAAGTTTAAACAACTCTTGATTAACGGGTGACCTGATCTGAGAGTTGTTTAAAATGTTAAGCATCTCGAGTTGTTTAAAGTTTAAACACTTAGTTGATCAACATTTTGAACAACTTGTTTAAAATCACAATTTAAACAACTAGTGTTGTTTAAAGACGGTTGTTTAAAAAGGAGCTGTTGTTCAGTGGGGGTTGTTTACACCAACTGGGTTGTTTAAAGAAAGTTGTTTAAAAAGGAGCTGTTGTTCAGTGGGGGTTGTTTACACCAACTGGGTTGTTTAAAGAAGTTGTTTAAAAAGGAGCTGTTGTTCAGTGGGGATTGTTTACACCAACTGGGTTGTTTAAAGAAAGTTGTTTAAAAAGGAGCTGTTGTTCAGTGGGGGTTGTTTACACCAACTGGGTTGTTTAAAGAAAGTTGTTTAAAAAAGAGCTCTTGTTCAGTGGGGGTTGTTTACAACAAAAGGGTTGTATAATGGGGTATAATTTGGGTTTGATACTCTGAATAAGTGCACCACTACTTCTTGGTCTCTATATAGGTATATGAAGACTAACAATATGGTAGGGTAATTCTGCAATTCATGAATTAGCGCCAAAACAGTGCCCATTTTGCATGAGCGCGCATGCACGCACGTATAAACTGCATATATAGGGATGCATCATGCATGCAATCTCTATGGCAAGGAAATTTAGCACACGTTATAACCGAGTGCGCGATCAGTGCCGCACTGCATGACGCGACGATTTTAAGTCTACCTATATTCTGACATTTGCGTACAGATACTGAAAATTGTAACTGTGAACTTACGTTATAAGTTAAAAACTTCAAATTGGTTAATAGAAAAGTGATTTCAATTAAGCCATTGAATTCCCAGTCACTTAGAAGCGCGTCGGTAGCTTGGTCGGCCATGATGTGTGTTGTGTTGTGGGTTGGAAAGTAAAAACTATTAAGCTAAATAAATGTAAGTATAGAGACAAACAAAATGGAGCCTGCAGAAACACGTGTGGTTGCTTTGGTAGTTTAATCCAGACTCAATGTCCATGTGCTTTTACATATGTATCAATCTGTGTAGTCAACAGAAGACCCTTGCATATACTTGCATTGTGTGTATGCATCTAATATGAATAACAATGAGCTGTGCCTAAACGGCTGCACTGCATTTCTAAGTTAATTTCATGTTAATTTTCATGTTAATTTCAATCAGGCGCGGATCCAGGATTTCTTAGGGGGGGGGGGGCCAAATTTGAAATTATGCGAGCCAAATATTGGTACGTAATGCGGGGGGGGGGGGGGGGGGGGGGTCGGTGCAGGGGGGGGGCGAGTTTCCCCCTCCCAAGCTTTGACGTTTCATTATATTATTAGAGAAAGAAGACGATTCCTTGTACCGTTCTCAAAAATAATTCTGGTCTGAATTTAGTTTTTACCCTCCCGCGCGAAGCGCGGAAAATTTTACGATTTATTAAATTATTAGAGAAAGAAGACGATTCGTTGTAGAGTTCTCGACTCTTAATCCTCGTCTGAATTCAGGTTCCCCCCTCCCCCTCCTGCGCGAAGCGCGGAAGCTTTGACGTTATATTAAACTATTAAAGAAAGAAGACGATTCGTTCTACCGTTCTCGACCTTTTATCCTCGTCTGATTTCAGTCCCCCCCCCCACCCCTCCCGCGCGAAGCGCGGAAGCTTTTACGTTTCATTAAATTATTAGAGAAAGAAGACGATTCGTTGTAGAGTTCTCGACTCTTAATCCTTGTCTAAATTCAGTCCCCCCCCCCTCCCCCTCCTGCGCGAAGCGCGGAAGCTTTGACGTTTTATTAAATTATTAGATAAAAAAGACGATGCGTTGTACCGTTCTCGAAAATAATCCTCATCGGAATTTAGTTCCCCCTCCATCCCGCGCGAAGCGCAGAAGCTTTTACCTTTCATTAAATCATTAAAGATTCGTAATACCGTTCTCGCCTTTGAATCCTCGTCTGAATTCAGTCCCCCCCCCCCCCACCTCCCCTCCTGCGCGAGGCTTTGACGTTTTATTATTAGAGAAAGAAGACGATTCGTTGCACTGTTCTCGACTCTTAATCCTTGTCTAAATTCAGTCCCCCCCCATCCCCCTCCTGCTTTGCTTTGACGTTTTATTAAACTATTAAAGAAAGAAGACGATTCGTTGTACCGTTCTCGACTCTTAATCCTTGCCTAAAATCAGTCCCCCCCCCCTTCCCCCTCCTGCGCGAAGCGCGGAAGCTTGTAATCTTTATTTAATCATTAGAGAAGAAGACGATTCGTTGTACCGTTCTCGAAAATAATCCTCATCGGAATTTAGTTCCCCCTCCATCCCGCGCGAAGCGCAGAAGCTTTTACCTTTCATTAAATCATTAAAGATTCGTATTACCGTTCTCGCCTTTGAATCCTCGTCTGAATTCAGCCCCCCCCCCCCCACCTCCCCTCCTGCGCGAGGCTTTGACGTTTTATTATTAGAGAAAGAAAACGATGCGTTGTACCGTTCTCTATACTCTTAATCCTTGTCTGAATTTCCAAGATGTTCTTTGTCTGCTCCTTTTTCTTCCTACGCCCTATTCCGATTGGGGGGACCGCCCCCTCCCCCCCCCCCCCCTGGCTACGCGCCTGCGGTCAGATAAACACATCTTGATACCTTGTCCGACCCCGCAAGCTCAGGGGTTTAAGGCAATTAATAACGGTCAGATAAGCATTCAGGGGCCCGCCTTAGGGCCCCTGGTGGGGTCGAGGCGGCGGAGCCGGCCCCGGAAGCTCAGGGGTTTTAGGCGTTTAATTAAGGTCAGATGAGCATATTTTTGTGTATACCTTATTATTTTGTGACACTGCCAGGTCACTATTTGGCGTGGGGTCCAGGGGGCGGAGCCCCCAAAAATCAGGGGTTTTAGGCATTAAATTACCGTCAGATGATCATCTAAGGGCCCGCAGTAGGGCCCTAGATGGAATCCAGGGGGCAAAGCCCCCGGAAGCTCAGGGGTTTTAGGCATTTAATCACGGTCAGATGAGCATATTTTGATGCCTCATTATTTTGTTAACACTGGCAGTTAACTATTCTTACTTTCTTGCTCTCATTCTATTCTATTTCTCTTGAATATACTTTTTCAAGAAAAGTGGGGGGGGGGGGGGGGCTCGAGGCTCTCGATCCCCGCCGTACCTCGGGCCCTGACATGTAGGAATCTCAAGAATCATATTTTTTGCCTGGCTGTAAATTTAGGAATTTGTCATTTTCCAACAAACACATACAAACGTATAATTTACTAAAAAGTGAGGAAAAAATTTCGGAAATTATGTCATTTCAGCATTATTTGTCATCCACCGTTGTGGAATTAGAAATAAACCACGTTTGAATTTGATTTCCCCAAGCCTCTCCCCCCCCCCCTCTATCAGTACGCCAGTATCTCCTCTTTTCCTTTTTTCTCTCCCTTTCCTTCCTTCTCTCTTATTTTTTTTGATTGGGGGGGGGGGGGGGGGTTAACAGCCTGGGAGGCAAGGCCCTTTCGGCCCCCCCCCCCCGATCTCCTTCTTCCCCCTTTTCTTTTCTTTTTCCTCTTCTTTCTTTCCCTTTTTCTCCTTTTTCCCTTTCCTTTCTATTCCTTTCTTCTCTTTTTTTTTTTTTTTTGCGGGGGGGGGGGGGGGGCAAGGCCCGCTCGCCCCCCCCCCCCCTGGATCCGCGCCTGATTTCAATTGCATGTTAGTTTCAAGGAACCTGTTTCTAAACATAACAATGTGAAATAAAGCTTTTGGCCAGCGCGCACTTTACTGGCACGAGACACATGACGTCATATGTAAACAACACTAAAAGCTCTCGTATAGTAAATATAGCAGTCATTAAATTTTAAACAACGAATGTTTAACAAAATTACTTTCGTTTCGAGCAACATTGTTTACAATTTGTTCAACTGTTGTTTAAGATAGTGTACAACTGTAAGTGGACATCACTTTTTTTTAAGCAGCGTTTTTACTGTGTGGTACTTAACAAACATTTATGCTTTACATTTGATTACATTACGAAAATGGTCTATTCAAAACTTTGAAAATCAATGTGCACTGCATTGCACTGATACCGCTATCGGTGCTATATAAGTAAGCTTTTCATAAGCACTAGTGTTAAACAACATACACTGGGTTACTGGGTATAAAAAGAGAAAGAAAGAAATGTTTGACGCTTTTGTTCATTGTGGACTTAATATGTCAAAAAGTGACAGTCTAACCCAATTATCAGACCGTTATTTTAATAATAGCTTTCAAAGAAATTTCATACAACTTAACTCCATGTTACACCATTCATCTTTACGATTTAAAAACTTCATTTTGAAACGAGTTTTATTAATGATCAAAGTTTCAAATGTTGTTTTATAACACCTGCCAACACCATAATAAAGAAGTGGAATCTCTCACATATAGTTGCTTACTTTTCGCCGTTTTTCTTAGAGTTATGCAACCCGATGGTCTCGGCGTGTTTGTGACGAGGCATCCTGAAAATCGGTGAAACAGTGGACTGACTTCAGAGGACACCAGTCGACTGGCTAGAAACCTTGCAGAATGCATTATTGTTCTCCTTCTTCTATAATGTCAGTAAAACAATTCAATCTAGCTGCCCCTTGAAAAGTAGTCTCGCAGAGACGTCCGGTTTGTTTCGTACAAACACAATCCTAAACAGTTATCAGTTGCTGCATTAAGAGATAGATCGAGACCGTGACACAACACAAAAACAAGTAGGGCTTGAGTTTGATTGTGTATTCCTGAAGGGCTTGTATACGATTAAAAGGTAAACACCCATTGACAGCGCACTTTGTAACCAGTCATTTAGATGGATTCCAAGACAAATGTTATACTTTGAACCTGCATTTTGGAAGGCATTGGCGTAACCCCCCCCCCCATAACATTGATTAGGGGTGACATGTGCAGCTAATCGGCATTGTGAGGGGGGGGGGGGGTACCAAATGCAGGGGCGGTGATTTCTTGCCATGGGGCGAAATGTGAGAAAACATAGTGAAAGAGAGGGGAGAGGGTGACTGTGCCCATCTCCCCCGCGATCAGCGCCCGTCTGCATCTTGTCAGTGGTCCTACTGGCCTAGCTGATAAGAATGTCAAAAGTTTTGGAGAGTGAGAAAAGTCGATTATTTTACTGTTGTTATAAACACCTCGTGATTATGTGATTATGCCTGACCCCTCCAACAAAATATTCTGTGATCTGCGGTACACCTATCTCCAAGGTAAGGGTCAATGCAATATAACACACTAAATACACATACACGACGTGCATGTTCTGTAATATTAACATGATTTATTCACATAATTGCGACTTAATCAATATTTTTCTATTGGCATTACAGTTGAACTAGGTTAATGGTGATTATTTTACAAACGAGTATTCGTTTGTGTCACGTCTATTATTGCTGTGTTGTATCTTTCTATAAACTATGGAATTTTATTTTAACTGTTCTGTATAAACGTTATGCTTTTTGATGTAAATATGTTCATGTTTATTCAGGGCCTCATGGAAGACCACTACTTATTGGTGAATGGGCTACCCTGACAAAAGATTAGAAATAAATATATAAAAATAAATAAATGTACCTCGAGACTATGGCGAATCTTCTCATATGACTACCACAGGGTTTCCTTTCCAGCTGATCTAGCTCAATTCTGGGGATTGGGGCACTTTAGGGGCGCCGGCAGGCACTTCCCACCGTCCGGCAGTCGTCATATGTGTATCTGTGGACTCTGCCGAACAATTTCTCATTGGTTTCATGGGGTTTCCTTTCCAGCTGATCTAGCTCAATGTTTTGCCCTATTTGGGGGCGTCTGGCGGGCACCTTCCACCACTCAAAACGTCTTGCATTCTCCATTCATGTACCTCGAGACTACGGCGAATCCTTTCCAGCTAGATTGACCCCCCCCCCCTGGCTCCCGGACTACATATATGTCCGTTCGTTTTAGTACACTTCTATGATATTCTCATCATTCTCTTGAACACACAATTACAAAATGTACAAAACAAACCAACAAAAAAGGTGGAAAGAGTATATACACATTCACATATGCAAACATCTGGACAATTTCCCGTTTTGGGTAACAATTCTTGCTCGTTTAAACAATGCCTCCCCTTCCCCCCCCCCCCAAAAAAAAAAAATCCACGAGAATGCATGGAAAAGTGATCCCTTCTTACGCCAAAACATTATCTCGTGCTTGCAAACACAAAGTCAAACTGAAATGACACCACCGGGGCTTCGAGCGAGTACTTTAGTTATTCAAATAAAATTATTGAGCATTCATACTGACGAGTATGCCAGATTTATTAAAAATCATTTCCACCTGTCGAAATGATGTTTGGTTTGGGGGCATGTGACTTCACCTAATGAGCAGTCGAATTCTAAATAAAACATGTTTCACTTAAAGACCGTCTGCACTAGTTTGGCCAGGGGGATTAGACCTCCCTGCAAGGTCACTGACAGGTGGTAACAGTTAATCTCATCAAATCAGCTCTCAATTAACATAAGAAAAAAAGGATCGTGGGGACTAACAGGCACCGATTAGGCCTTGCCTGCCCCTTGTTTGCTATATAGAGGGCGCAAGTAGCTATATGTAGTGCAGTGGGGCTTTACATAAATTAACCCTTTTTTATAGATTTATTCTGTGAGGAAAATAGATTTTTAATTTCATGTTTTTCCTGTGTCCTTAATACAGTAGTCGCGCTGAACTTGTAAGCAATCTAGTTTAGTGAAATTGCAAATTCATCATTGAAAATGTACTCATAATGAAAATCACACTATAGATCACCTAAACGAAATTGATGGTTATTTCAATAATGTCGATTTTCGGGTGCTCGCCCCCCCCCCCTTCCCATCGCTTCATACAAATATGCCCATGCCTTTATTAGCCAATACTGATTCAGGGACTGTGTTCAACTATCATAACTAGGATTATTGTCATCATCATCATTCAGCAGCAGCAGCATAACAGTCATCACCAGCTCCATCATAATCACCATCATAATCAACATCACCATCACTATCACCACCATCTTCACTATCATCATCAGACTACTTCCATCATCATCACCATCACCATCATTACATCACCATCATCATCACTATCAGCATCCACATCATCATCATCACTATCAGCATTCACATCACCATCACCACCATCATCACTATCATCATCATCACTAATCACTATCATCACATCATAATCATTACATCACATTACCATCATCATCACCATCACAACCATCATCACATCATAATCACCATCACCACCCCCATCACCATCATCATCACTATCAGCATCCACATCATCATCACCACTATCAGCATTCACATCACCATCACCACCATCATCACTATCATCATCATCACTATCATCACATCATAATCATTACATCACATTACCATCATCATCACCATCACAACCATCATCACATCATAATCACCATCACCACCCCCATCACCATCATCATCACTATCAGCATCCACATCATCATCACCACTATCAGCATTCACATCACCATCACCACCATCATCACTATCATCATCATCACTATCATCACATCATAATCATTACATCACCATTATTATCAGTACATCACATCACCATCATCAACACCATCATCATCATCATCACTATCAGCATCCACATCATCACCATCACCACCATCATCTCTATCATCATCATCATTATAACCACAACCATCATCACATCATAATCACCATCACCATCATCACTATCATCATCATCAGACTACCATCATCACCATTACATCACATCACAATCATCATCACATCATTGTCATCACTATCATCAACAACTCCATCAATCATCCTCCTCCTCCTCCTCAAACCCATTATCCTATCAAATGTTACAGTTTGATGATCTGAATACTAAAATAACAACTTCTCATACAGGATCCATTGACATTTACCGCTTTACTTTGATAATTTTATTTTGCACATAGGACAGCTATTTTCACATGCAATAATACATTAATTTCATAAACTTCAGATATGGAATGATAGTAGGGTAGATGAACACGATTCCTTTTGCGTAATAAATCAAATGACAAAACTTTATCAGTTTCGTAATCGTTTACAATGAACCAAAACAAAATCTACTTCTGTTGCTTTAATCACATACATAATGGAGCACTTGAGCTGTTCTACATGAGTGCAATGCATGAAAATCAACACACAAAAATCATGTTTAATGTAAATTAATCATTTGTAAATTATGAACATGCTCTCACAATAATCATGGTTTTGACAAACTTGAATGATATCTAAACTATAAGGGAAAAAAAGTATCATTCTTACAAATTTTTTAATATATACATCCCATGATTACTTGGTATTTCTTCCTCCAACAAGATTCTTACATGTTTTATAGCACATTAACTGCAAGCACAGAAAATATAAATATGTAGATGGTCATATTATGTACACTTTTAATGTCACATTTTCTCACGTATACATGTATTTACTTACAAATGGCAAGATGTGATATGTCTTAGTTTATTTTACAAACCTAAAAAGGATAACTAAATTAAAATCCTGTTTATCGGTACATTGATTTTGATAATGTGTTTACACTAGTAAATGGGTGTACAAAGTCTCACAAGGGTTTGTGCAGGAGTGATCCAGTAAATGTAGTCATCTTCAACTGCCACACATCCTTTGGAAAACTCCTTTTTCAGATACATTGAGATGGAATAATTAAAGCAAGCTAGCTTTCATCTCATTTTATTATAATGGGATAACATTATATTCTAATACAGCACTAGCATCAAAGCACTACGAGGTACTGTAAAGTCTGCACATTAAAAGCATATGGGTTGAGTGCCATTGTTATATATAGTCAAAGGTCAACTAGGTAGATAGGATTTGTGTATTTAATATTTTTATGGGAAATTACAAATACCTATGGTGCATGAATATACAAGTAAAGACTTTAACGGCTTATAATGACAGGTTATGTTCTCAAGACACCTCTTCGCTCTTCCAAGTTGGTCTAGTGAACTTTAAACTTAATAACCAGCTAGCATTGCACATTGACTCTATATATGGCTACATGGTATCTGATATTTAAAGGTAAAGACCAGTTTTGGTAACGCCCCCCTCTCAAAAAATGAAATGGAAGCTCTTATTACCAATTTTTAGACTTATACTTACTAAGTAAGACAAAATCGAAGTAAAATACTTACTGATAAGCATTGTGACGTCACACGGTCAATCAAAAGTAATGCGCAATTGATGCATTGCAATAAATGTGCGCTGATATAATTGTACGCAGGTTATAATACTGCGTAAGAAAATCATATGCCTGCCAATCAAGGCCTCCAAATAATTGGCTTAAGTCTGGTATGGAGTTGGCTTAGATTAAGAGTAAAATACTTAGCCAAAAGTGTGAATTGAATACCATAATTGGCTCAGTATTTTATCTAAGCCAAATACTAAGTAAAAAGCTTAAATTTTGTACTTAAGTATTGAATTGAATACGAGCCCAGGAGACCAAGATTGCCCTTGAAATTGTGTTCTACATGTACCTCCAAGAGAACAAACACCATCAGCAGAGCTGAGAAGTTCTATGGCATATGCACTTGTGACTCATGTTTAGTGGGGGTGTATTTTGTACTCTTGAATCTGGACCTAACGCTGTTAGACCTTGTCTTAACCGATAAACCCAACCTAAAACTAAATCATAATCCCATCTCTACAGCTTTGATATAATGAAACCCAGAATACATGTTGTCTTAGCATGTTGGACCATCAAACGCTAAAGGTTGAACTATTACTCAGCTCTCATTCTCCTATTCGCTGACCAGGGGACCGATGTCGACAGTGACCTCATGCTCTAGCCATACAGCTGTGGGAGAGCTTCTCTCCTATTCGCTGACCAGAGGACCAATGTCGACAGTGACCTCATGCTCTAGCCATACAGCTGCAGGAGAGCTTGTCTCATCTTGTGAACTATTGAGGGCTGGGGCAGTATTTTTGTACTTGTACTTCAGCGTGAAAACAACCTAAAAAAACAAAAAACAACAAAATGAAAACAAAATGAAAGTTTCAGGGTCACCAATGATGTCTTTGCTGTATTATTCAAAATGATATTAAAGCACAATGAAATCTCTTGCATATATTTCACCATGATGCATCAAAGTGAATTATATTCAGTTTGAATTCTTTAAAAAAATTGAAATCATTGCAAAACATCAATGGCAAATAATATGCACACATTAAACTTTGAAGGAAATATTTTAGCAAAATTTTGTGATAATGCATAACTGTAAACAACATTCTAAAGACTAAATGGGCGTGTTTGTGATGAATGATCGTTTGACCTAACGCATCCGTTACTGCTGATGGATAGAAACCATTTCTTCTATGCATAGGTATTTCAATTCAATTCAATTCAAAATCATTTTATTCTTGAACATCAGATTGTACATTCGTAAACAATTACATTTGTACAAGAAAAGGAGGACAACAAAAAGTATACACTTGAAAATAGGAAGCCTATTTTTGCAATGGAATTTATGAATATTAATAAGGAAGCTTAGCAAAATGAAGTGGGACGAAAAGACGAGTCCAGAATGCATAAGGTGTTAGTGATGTTTGTTAATTAAATGTTTTTACTTAAATATATCAATGGAAATCTAGGAAATATTACATCTAATCGAGACAGAAAATATATCTACCAGCTCCATAACCTTATGTTGTGGATCTAACTCTACATAAAGAAATTATGATCTTCAACAATCATGCGTTCAGGATGCATCTTTTTGTGCCACTGCATTTCGATAAGCTACCAAAGGAATCAAACTTACCACAACATTGTCAGTTGCTCTTTGTGGAATGACCTTGAAAAGCACACCAAGCTTGTGAGCTTTACGGAATTGCACATATCTAGGGAGCAAAAAAGATCGGGCTTAATTAATTCAAAAATAAAATAATGCACTTTCAACTTAGTCAGAAACAGAGTACAAGGACATCAATAGACTATCTTCTTTATTGGTTACAAAATCTAGATTTCAGACAAAATTACTGTAAATATGAGTTCAGCTGCTTTTCGCAAGCTTTAAAAAAAAATTAAATTCTTATTTTTAGATAGTTAACATTTACTGGTGACACATATCCTTTTTACTGCACCATAAACAAGTTCAACCAGCTTTTTTTCTTGAAGTACAATTTAAAAAAAAACATTTCTAGAAGACCAACTTTACATCATCTGGTGCCAACAAGATTTTAGGAGACAAAGTTGTTGCTACATACATTGTTCCTATTTTCATCTTGATAAAACCAAGGTTCCATATTATCTAACTTTATTATACAGAAGCCATTTTTGAATTCAACAAGACGACCCATTAGTCAAAAAATTATTTGATACACTTTTGAAATTTGGGAAATTAAAATCCCCTACGACACTGAAAAGCTTTAAAGAGGAGCACGCTTACTCAGTGTTGTCGTTGTAAGCATCATACTGGATGTCAGCCGTACTGTCATCAAATTCAGCAGTCGGGTCCTTAGGCCCAAGCATCAGCTCATCTTCAGGAGGGATCACCTGAGAAAAATTATCAGACATTTAGAATGGAGAATTTTGTGTAATAAGAAAAAAAGGTACAGCTCATGTTACTAAGAAACACAAAAAAAAAATAATGAGAATGTTGACAGTACCAATATTTTTTAATGCCACAAATAAATAGAGAGAGAGAGATAGATGGATGGATAGATAAAGAAAGGAAGAATTCAACAATCAATGAAATAACCAAATGAGTTGAGGAACAAAAAGTTACAGGAAAAGCTGAGAGCTAAAGGACAGTGGAGCCTTATGGAAATCAGCTTTTGCTATTAAACAGACAACAGAATTGTGAGGACCATTATCAACAAACATTAGCAGTAGCGGACGTGTCTTCATACTTCTTTGGGTTGGATCTTTCAAACCTTATAGCCATTCTCTTTTCATGGGATTTGCTAACCATTATGATCCTCTCTGAGACAGACAAACAAACAAACAGACAGGCAGATGGACAGACATATAGACAGACGGACAGAGAGAGTTTAGAGGACCATTATCTACCAACCTGTGCAGTAGCCTGTGTGTCTTCGCTCTCCTTTGGGATCGATCCTTCAAACCTGATAGCCATTCTCTTCTCATGAGGGTTGCTAACCATAATGGTCCTCTCCGAGACAGACAGACAGACAGATGGACAGAGAGAGTTTAGAGGAACATTATCTACCAACCTGTGCAGTAGCCTGTGTGTCTTCACTCTCCTTTGGGATCGATCCTTCAAACCTGATAGCCATTCTCTTCTCATGAGGGTTGCTAACCATAATGGTCCTCTCCGAGACAGACAGACAGACAGATGGACAGAGAGAGTTTAGAGGATCATTGTCTACCAACCTGTGCAGTAGCCTGTGTGTCTTCGCACTCCTTTAGGATCGATCCTTCAAACCTGATAGCCATTCTCTTCTCATGAGGGTTGCTAACCATAATGGTCCTCTCCGAGACAGACAGACAGACATATAGAAGAACGGACAGAGATAGTTTAGAGGATCATTGTCTACCAACCTGTGCAGTAGCCTGTGTGTCTTCGCACTCCTTTAGGATCGATCCTTCAAACCTGATAGCCATTCTCTTCTCATGAGGGTTGCTAACCATAATGGTCCTCTCCGAGACAGACAGACAGACATATAGAAGAACGGACAGAGATAGTTTAGAGGATCATTGTCTACCAACCTGTGCAGTAGCATGAGTGTCTTCGCACTCCTTTGGGTTCGATCCGTCAAACCTGATAGACATTCTCTTCTCATTAGGGTTGCTAATTATCAGGGTCACGATGCTCTCCTTGCCGTAGTGGAGGTTGGGTACCAAGAAGATACGCACATCGGGGATGTGTTGGCTACAATAAAAAGAATAATGATAATAAAGAATTTCAATGTTTGATGGGTGTTGGAATTAAGGTAAGATTGCTGTCAAAAGATTGAAATTAATACAATTCGACATTGTAGGAATCTGCACACAGAGATACTATATAAGGAAGGGATAATATATCCACAGAATGATAAATGTACTTATCCTTGTCTATTCAATTAACTTCTTGATAAGATTGGGACATTTTAATAACCAGTATCTTCTTTTATTTCCACTCTCTGCTGTTTTTATTGTATACTTTTAATCTTCCATTATTTTCTCCTTCTTTCACCCCCTTACGCTAAGTCAATGTCCTGCTGATATCTCTTTACAGTTGAAACAAAATTGTCAACAACAATTATACAAAATACAACTAGATTGATTCTTACATTGCAACAAGCTGGATCTTAAACTTGATAGAGGATGGATTAAACTCCGGCTTGCTCAGGTTATGCTCACATTCCTGAATGGGTAAAAAAAATAAAATGGAAGAAGGTAATCAACACCATAGCCTGCCATCACGGAATCTTCAACTAGATGGTGAATTGCGTTTGGTCTACACCCAGCCCGTCTACTATTCACATGGTCTAATAATCATTTCATCTGATGACCATTTAGGCTAATAATAATCATTTGGTCTAGTTTCCTTACAGTAAAATCTTTAATTAGTCTACTACCATTTGGTCTATTGCTCATTTAGTCTAATAACCAGTTTCTCCTATGCCCATTTCATCTACTGGGAATTAGACCAAATGATAGGTAGACAAAATTATCAAAATGATACTGTTTTTTTTTTCCTCTTTAGGTTGAAGGTTGCAGCAAACCCAAGCCCCCCCCCCCCCTCCATCAAAACAGAAGTCTTGTGTTTATACAGTTAACAATTAATTATTCATACCCTTACAAAGTTTTGTAATTTTTTAAGTACGGTATATGAAAAATTAATTTGTTCCTATTTATTTTTCTTAAAGATGTGACATATCAAATCTTACATCTAAAGGTATTTATTCAACCAGTCCACCTTTCATTCCTGATTTAAGGAGAAGACAAAAAAAACATCAAATTTACAAGGGGTATGAATAATCCAGTTGTTAACTTATAATCCAGGTGACAAAAAACTTGAAGTCCTTTCTGCGGGAGTGTGCAAATGTTTGGACAAACTTACCCTGCATCTCTGAGAGCGTTTGATGAGCAGATGCTTGTGCCTAGGGTACATCTGTTCTACTGAGACACAGTGATGATCTGGGTGCTGTAAGCGCTGTCTGATTGTACAAACTAGACAAAAAGAAAAGAGGAAATTCATTAAAGAAAAAAAAATGAAGTGATGTACATGCAGTTGTTTCTTTTGAAATGTTGAAGCAAAAAAAATGCTATGATATTTAAGTCAACATCTTCTGTGCAACTATTTTAAAGACTATGTATGGAATTAGTTTTTTACAGACGTGTATCAATCAGATATGATTATTTACGTCTGGGGACCGACCTTTAACGTCACCATCCAAAAGACATGACTCGGTTTCAAACCTGGGTCGCCTGAGCTAATTTGTAGGCAAAAACAGAGAGCTGACCAAGTTAAACTGCCGCTAGACCAACTCACATACACTGTATCATTATAAATAAATAATATGAGCCAATTTTTTTAAAGATCTAATTTTTCCTTCATCCTCGAATATAGGTTTAGGCATGAATTTGTTGCTTTATTGTTAGCCTTTCACTTTAAATAATTTCCACAGAACAACTTTGACAACATATAGATCTGTCTCTCTTTCGGAAACAAAATAAAAGCTATTTCTAGGCCAAAATCATAATAGAAATTCTCCATTCTTTGGTGAGAGTTGCTGTCTCTTGGTTGAATGGGGTTAAGATACATGTACATGCAACGATGGAACAACAGCATAATACAGTTTACAGGTCTTTTCTGTTATGCTAAAGACAGAACAATCTGGGGAACCATAATCAACATGATCACAAAGGGTCAGCCATATGCCATAGAGGTGTCGTGGACGAGTGGATATTCAACCAGACTGTGGATCACAGTCTGAACTAGCTATAAGAACTAGCTATTATTATTATTATTATACATAACCCATTGCAAAAAGACAATGATCTGATGCTACACATACTTTTCTCCAGCACGACTGGCTGTGTCAGTATCTTGTTTGGCAGGGCATCCACTTCTTCGGAAGCTACTGCTGGCTCGACAGGGATGATGGTTGCTTGCTCGTCTTTTAGCCTAATGAAGAGAAATAATACCACACAAAATATAAAAAACGCAATATCAAGAAAAAATATGAACAGGTAATTTGTCCACATCAATGCAGGCCTTAAGACAATTATGTTCTCCATTTCATTCTCGTCAAAGAATATCCTTTTTCGGGAGGAAATCTTTACAGCTGATGTAATAGATCAGGGACTGTATTCTGAAAACTGCTACCTTCTATAGAGAAGAGTTACAAATTGATATTGCATGAAAGTGACCCTTTATAGCTGAAAAGTAGATCATCATATCTCACTTTCTTGTTCACCCCTTCTCATTTTATCAATACAGTGAGACAATTTGAAAGGAAAATCCCCAAAACACACAAACACTGGAAATGGAGGAAGAAATGAGGAAGGGAAAACAGAGCATATAATAAAGAAAAAGCATAGCAATGATTAAAACAAATAAATTAAAAAATTAAAAATAAATAAATAAAATACAGAAGTAAGCATCGACATAGATAGATGCATATCCAGACATGGAAAAGCTCTTTCTCGTAGACTGATAAAAACACCACAATAATAATAATTCCTAACTACTTACGCCAATCCAGTGAAGGAAGAGAGAAGAGCACTGCTCCTTCTTCTCCCTGGGGCTCCAGGGGACAGGTATTTCTCCTGGAGCCTGAAGTACGCTCGTCTCCTGGTGAACTTCTTGTGCTCCCTCTCCATCTTCTCCTGCTTGGCAAGCTGGTGGTAGTAGTCTGACAAATCTGTGATCTGTGAAGAATGACCACATCCTAAGTCAAATTTAACTCTAAGTTGGACTTAAACATTATGGAGAGCCATTCGTAGCCTTAAAATAAATTATATTAAAAAGCAAAATTTGAAGTATTTTAGACTTTTCATAAATTCCACATCAAGAACATGAAATCTCCTTGCCAATAGAAAATATGAATCAACATTTTATGCCTTATAAAACAACTTTTACAAGATATTTTCAAAACAGCTTTCCATATTTGTTAAGTGCAACTTAGGATCTTTGTGAAACACCCCCCAGGAAGTTAAGACTTTTGTAACATGTCTATGAGCACTCATACTTATGCCATTCTATACATATGTCAAACCAACTGAGGACCGATTGATTTTTTGCCACAGGGGTAATACAGTGAAAAGTGTATATAAAGACCGCTCAAGGGAAACAAAAAATGTGGTCTTTATAGGCAGGTGGTCTTCATGTACAGGTTTCTTCAATACAGGTTTCAATGAGAAACCATATTTAAGGGAAACAAAAAATGTGGTCTTTATAGCCAGGTGGTCTTTCTATACAGGTGGTCGCTAAAGCAGGTTTTTACTACAAATAGAATAGTTTGGTAAGTCTGCAGTCTGTATACATGGTGTTAGTCTCCCCGGTGTGACTGGGGTACAGGTCCAAGGTTATTTTGTTTAACCTTGCACCACAAAGTACATATATGTGTCTATTGTTTGCAATGGGAGAGCCGAGAATTATAAAGAAACAAGGGAAACGCTCTCGGCGGTCTCGCCTGCATTACGCAATTCGATATGATGAAAAATTGAGGTTGGAACATATTTTTAGGCAGGGTGGCCCATTAGCAGGCCCCGAAAAATGAAATACTCTGAATATAATCAGCATTTTGAAGTGAATATGGACTTAGAATCATGAACAAATAACAAAAATTGATTCATTAGTTCTCAAGTTGTGAAAACATAATTTAAGTCTACTGACCTAAAATGACCTTTGACCTTGTGACCTGCAATTTGTGTCATATGATTTGTGATACTTGATAACCCTTGTGTACAAGTTTCATGGAATTTGAACAAACACTTTTGAAAATATGCTAAAAATTCAAAATCTTGATGTTGATGCCACAAAAAAATCTAAGTTTGTTGACCTAAAATGACCTTTGACCTTAACTTAGTGACCTGAATTCTACTCACATGATTGGGGATACTCGATTACCCTATAGTCCATGTTTCATTGACTAAGGACTTTTTCTTTTAAAATTATATCAAAAATTCAAAAACTTAACCTTAGGTTAAGTTTTTGATGTTGATGCCGTCACCGCCGCCGCCGCCGCCACCGGAAAAGCGGCGCCTATGTCTCGCTTTTTGCTACGCAGGCAAGACAAAAATGATTGATGAATTATACATGACATGACAGTTCTACATGTACATGTACTGTGTAAACATAAGATGCTTTCTAACTCACACTCACCAAACTAAGGTTCATCACAACTTGCTGTAGCTTTGATAAAATTACACTATTTTGACAAGTAAAGTTATTTAATTCATAAAATAGAAGAACCAACATACCCTTCTTGCACCAGCATTCTCAGGCTCCAACCAGGGTCCACTTGCTATAGATGAAAAGAACAAAAAAGAATTGTTAGGGTGATTATTATACTCTCCTAATGTAAACAAAACTATGGAGAAAAAGCTATTGTATTGAAAAATTTATTAAAGCGATTTTAAATTTTCAAGATATTGCCATGTTTTGTTTAATTTCCATGCTTGTATCTCCTGGCATCAAACGCTATGTAGCAATGCAACAATAGCCACAAAGCATAGAGTGCAGATATTTTGCCCTTTCTGTTCGTGCATATGGTAGCTTTTTGTAGGTTTCTCAAGTTATTGAGCCAAATCACTAAAGTAGGACTATCGTACACTATTATCTGGAAGAAGGTACTCGGAAATGAACATGGGTGATTGTTATAAATGGGTTAAAGCACTTTAGGCCATTACAAAAAATGTAAATGTTTAGCGTCCCCGCCCGCTTCCTTTTTGGGGGCAGCCTTCAATTTTTTTTTAACATTTTTTTTTTATTGAAATTTTTTTTTTAAAGAAAAAAAACATGAAAAACACTGAAAATGGATAGTCTATTTTTGATTAAAAAAATGAAACAAAAAAACGTCGGCGGCTATCTTGAGAAAAAAAAAAGGGCCTCCTCCTTCCTATTTTTCAAAAAAGCAGGACGCTAAACATGTTTTTGTTTAAATTTGGCCTTAATCAGAAGTTTAGAACCTCACCTGAGTCTTTATCAGGCATTCCAGCATCCCTAGAGCTCCACCTGCACAGTCCACAAGCCAAGTAATAAGCCTTCTTGGTGGTGGTCTTAGTAGGGTCCCTGGGGTCTGGGACAGCCACGCTGGTGGCCCGGTGGGACAGGGTGTGCTGGCAGCTAGGGCAGTCTAAACAGTTCCCGCAGCGGTTCTTCTTGGACTTGGCCTCGGCCGACGGCATGTTCTCCAGGCAGTTTGGGCAGTAGTGAGAATCCACCTGGGTAAATGTCAAGAGCGAAAGTGCAGAGGTTGTAATATGAACACTGAACAGGTAAGGACTTTCTTGTCTGTTCAGAGATAGAAAGGCATGAACTCTGTGTTAAAGTTTATCTGGGTCCAAACATACAATGCTTTCTCTTAAAGCCACACTGTCCTACTTGTAGCTACTTGCTCCCTCTATATAGAAAACAATGACTAATCAGTGACCTTTGGTCCCCCATGATTCTGTTTTTCTTATGTTAATTTAGAGCTGAGTTGATGAGAATGAGATAACCAATTTTCCAGTGACCTTGCAGGGGGTCGAATCCCTCTAGTACAGATAAGCTTTAAGAACATTGCATCATTTATCATTGCAAAATGGATGTGCCCTATCCATTTTTACTTTGCATGAAATTTCTATTAATATTTCATTCAAATTTGTTGTTTGCAAAGAATAAGAAAGTTAAACTGGCTATCAAAATATAGGCCATGTAGACCTGCTGTACATCTAAATATTTTTGCTTTATTGTGAAATATAAACTTTCATTGACAGATCAAATTTATATATAAACTTTTTCACATCATTTTGTATATTTTGATTTTTACAACTACAGATATCTTTAAAATCTATTTTGCTGATACAATTCACAGATATCCTGGTTGTGATTCCTAGATAAAAACAAATCCTGTCATAATACTGATTACTTGATTCAGTATCATTTTGGAATGTGGTGTTGTTGTTGTTGAAAATATTTGTTGATTGCCTTTTAACGCCTCTTGAATTTAAACATTTTAGTCTTAAGGGCCAAAACATGCGAGAGCCATTATGGATTATATTATGACAATGGGATAAAAATGGGTAAAGCTACAATACATGTCAAAAAAGATATACACTGTACAGTTTGAGCATTACTAGATTTGTGTGCAGGAAAAAATATTAAGAAACGCTCTATTGATTCTCAAAACTCTCAGACACCAATTAAATGACAACTGATGACTCCTAAATAGCAGCAAAATGAATTGAATTCAACCCGCCAACGTTTATAAATAAATTGTTAAAAAATTTAAATCGGAAATGTATTGTCAATGCTGGCAAAGAGCTGATTTGTATTGATTTTTTGGTCACAGTGCTAGCTGACGGGGGAGTGTTTCAAATGCACTGAGGCAAACAACTTGAAATTTGGCCAAGAAGAATCGGAAATTGACCGAATACCGGGCGCGCACGTTACCCTAGATCTATCAAAGTTTCAGCATTAGTCTATATTCCCCCATTTTTTAATATTTTTTTTTAATGCATTCTGGGCTCCTACTTCAATCACAAGTTTAACTGGTGTGCTTCGAACAACATTGTCAATGAAGACAAATGACATGAATGGAAAAAACATAATTTAAAAATATGAATTTTGTATTAAAATGACGAGTGGCAATTTTATATCTGGAAATTAACTTGAATAATAAATTAATAAATGTCGTAATAGATTTGTAAAATCTCTCAGCATCGTGGACTTATATATTCTGATGAATGGGTTAAATAAAACGGGAAATGCAAGAACATTGCAGAAATGAAAACTATTCAAGATTGAAAAAAAATCCAACATTTTTTCTTTACGTGTGGGACCACACGCAACTGGGTGAATACAATTATATATGCAAATTAGCCGCTGGTGTAAAAGAGGGTGTTTCCATCTGGTCAATTAATATGAATCCCTCCCTACCCGAGTAAGTTTAAGATACTCACCTCGTGGGAGACACATTTTCCACATCTTATTTTTAAGCAGTGTTTGCAGAAATAAAGTTGCGTGATTGGAGAACGAGCATTGCAAGAGCACAAAATTTGTACTCTTTGAAGTTCCAACTTGGCAGCCATTTTTCGCGTAGATGATCTAGCTTGTAATGTTTCTGCCGATAGAGGGCTTGTGGGCGTTTCACGAAAAAACTTAGAATTATCTCAAATTGAAATGATTGAACAACTTCTCCGTTTTGGGTCGGTAACATTTATTAGTATAATATTGTCAACTAGAATATAGAAAATAGTACAAGTCCCTTTTTTTTCTAAAATAAGTTCTCCTTCATGTTTATCCCTATTCTTTTATAAGTCAGACCTTTTGCTATGAATAGCAAACCTGATTATACATATTTCAATTTTAAAGAGTATTTATTTTAAGAGTTGTAAAAGATTTATAACCTAAAAAATTACTAAAATTGAAGAAGAAAAAAAAAATGAAATTACAACGGAAATGTAAATTATGAATACATGATACGCCGAAATGCGTCAACACCCTTACACAAATATGTATTTTGGAGAACTAGAGTATATGTGCATAAAGGTAAGGAAATTGAAAAGTGAAAGTGAAATTTAAATGAATTTAAGTAAATTTGCACTCGCGTTGGTTTTTCGAAAGTATCCGCGATGATATTATGTGTTTACAATAATTTGTACATCATTAAAGCCAATCATTATTTTTTTTTCTAGTAGGCCTACTCCGTGATGTATCTAAGCGGAGCCTAGGGCTACGCTCCCACAAACACCCCCTAAAAAATGAAGGCACAGAAAACAGAAATTGAATATTCCTGGCAGTATTCACGCCGTCATGGGACTCTCCGTCTTTTCTTCTGGAGGGGAATACCCCCCCCCCCCCCACTTCCCTCTAGCCACTTGTATCAAATTCTGGATATGCCACCGTTGGTCTGGACAATGCTTTAATTAGACTATTGACAACCAGGGCAGCGGTTTATAACCCAATTTTGATGAAAGGCTACAACACTATTACGATGATTAAACGTGTTCAGTCAATCATCCAAGCATTATAATACACGAATATATTATTATCAAAACGAACTCATCATATTATCATTTCCTCGGCGACTCGAGGGAAACGATATTCAATGCAAATATCAAATGAACCTAAATTATTCGACTCCGTGGATCATTTCTTTTTAATTTGAATGTCTGCATTTCTATTGATGAAGTGCAAGTGCTCCAATATTCATCGCTATCAAATTGCTGAAAAGGGGTTTATTGACTGACCCGAGATGGTGGCGTAGACTTAACCAACTCTCCCTCCCTCCTTTCTTTCCCCTCTTCCTTCTCTCTCTCTCTCTTTCTTTCTCTCTCTCTCTCTCCATTTTTTTTTCTCTCTCTCTCATCTTAACTCTCTCTCTCTCTCTCTCTTTCTCATCTCTCTCTCTCTCTCTCTCTCTCTATAACCCTCTCTCCCTCTCTCCCTTTCTCTCTCTTATCTCAACTCTCTCTCTCTCATCTTAAATCTCTCTCTCATCTCAACTATCTCTCTCTGTCATCTCAACTCTCTCTCTCTCCCTCTCTCTCTCATCTTAACTCTCTCTCTCTCTCTCTCTCTCTCATTTCAACTCTCTCTCTCTCATCTTAAATCTCTCTCTCATCTCAACCCTCTCTCTCTCTCTGTTATCTCAACTCTCTCTCTCTCTCTCTCTCTCTCATCTTAACTCTCTCTCCCTCTCTCTCTCTCATCTCAACTCGCTCTCTCATCTCAACCCTCTCTTCCTCTCTCTCTCTCTCTCTCTCTCTCTCTGTGTGTGTAAGGAGAATGTGGGCGTGAAGGGGGTGGGGCGGGGTTTTCATTTTATTGATGCAAAGGCTGTGGTGTGTTCTAGATGACTTGTCGTCTATCGTGTAGCTTCGGGGGAGGCAGTGATGGTGGTGTGGTCGAAAACAAATTTAAGGGATTTACAACAGTCGTCTGGCAGCTACGCTTGTCGTCAGCGTTAGCCACAAAGATAATGTCCTACTTTTTTGTTGCATTCAAGTGTCTCCTTTCGCCTGTTTAAAACGATTTTACCTTCTAAATTTTCGTTTCCTTGTCTCATTCTCTTTCTCTAGAGTCTGATCCGATCTTTCCTCAGTATGTGCAAAGGATAATAGCCAGGCATCATATCAAAAGGGCCATACAAATTGCAGGAGTGAATACAAAACGTCGTTCACATTCAAGTCCATTGAAGCATCCCATCGTAACTAAATTAAATAGAATACATTCTACAATGGGCTTGATTACACATAGCTGGTATGCATTCCTAAGAAGGAGCATTCAATGGTCAACAAAGACAAGCGTGATTGGGCATAGAGCTCTATTCCGTTATTTCTTTCTTTATTTATCTATTTATTTTGTCAGCGGTCTATTGATCCTAGGTATTGGGTGCCTTGTACAACCACAGTGGCGGATCCAGAAAAAACCCAGGTAAAAACACGTTAATTTTACCCTTTTTTGGAGACGGGCCCCCTCCCCTGGTGCTCAAGGGGAGGGGGGGGGGGGGTGCGATTAAACAAATGTCGAGGGCAAAACAAAATATTAAACAAATAGTGCCGCTAAATATTTCTCACGAATTGGGCCCCCTCCTCTGCCGCCGGCTGGATCCGCGCCTGACAACAAAGACTGCCCGGCCATGAATTATCTACTGCTTCTTGTCCTAAAGTCGTTGGTCTCTGAGGAGCTACCATCTTTCTTTTTCTTTCTATCGTTAATTTTTTGGAGGGAGGCTTCGGCTTATTTGAGATAATAGCATAGAGGCGGTGGTTCGACGTTGTGATATATATCTTGGAGCATGCTACGTGGTAGAGAAGTTACAACGCAGACAAACTCAGAAGAAACAAACACAAACAAAACCAAACAAACAAAGACGCAACAAAAAAGGGCCAGGAGAACACAATCATTTTTATACCCCAGTCAAATCGCCAAACCACACTGAGTCTAAACTTCTCAATAAACAACGAAATCTTGCCCATTCTTGATAGTGTATCCTTTACTATTATTGCTTTGATGTTACCCTCGTTGGTGCGATCAAATTCCTTGGTGTGATTCATGGTGGTATAACACCCATGTCCTGCTATTAGCTCTAAAAAAAAAGTCTCTATAATTGCTCCGATCGATTATTTTTGTGTCTGTTGTGTGGGTATTTTTACCATGCTTGCTGCTATTTTTATAATGCTGTTGTCAGAACATCTGTCCAGCATTAATCACTTAGGATACCACGTGCACGCGTTGAAGATTCAATCAATTTTTGCACCCATCGCTTTAGACACGTTTTATTGTTTTACACAAAGCGAGCATCAACGTTAACCAAGCTCTTTCAGCTACGATTTAGTTCCGGTGTAACCGTAGCGAGATTATTGTCGAGAGCTGTATCAATGGACAAGTTCACGAATATTCAAATTTATTCAAATTTTAAGCACAATGCTTTAAAATGTATTATTCTTAATCATCTAAGCTTAAGTAATCTGGATCTTATCGATCCGGGTGCAAATAATATGTAATTACAGTTAAATAGACAATTTTCCTAGTATCCTAGTGCACTCAAATTTATGGACATTTTTCCCCGAATCCCCTTGGCACCAGATAATTATTGGTCTGATAAACGAGTGTGTTTTTGGTTCGGTATCGGATGTAGAGAGATATATTCACATCAGGGACTTTAAACCTTATTACAATGTGTGTGTGTGTGGGGGGGGCACAATGGAGTAAAATGAAGTGGCGCGGACAGGGGGTGTCTGAGGAGGGATGTGGCCCCCTCAGAAGTTGAAATAAAATTGAACTTTCAAACTCATTTGGCGAGATTTGGTGCATACTTTCTAGTAAAATTGACTGAAAATCATTGACTAGTTTCCAAGGATTCCTCAAAGGGGAATATCTTATGTCACTATTACAGAGACTCGGAGACATATTTGCAGTAGCCTATACAAGCTTTATTATTGTCATTATTATGTGAAATTATTCCATAGAGTATCTTGATAACAACAGTTAGGTCTAAAATTAGTTACTACATGTACCTGTCTTGTTATTCATTATAACTATCATAACGTATTGTCACAATGTTTAGGTATATTTTAAGATATTTGTTTCATCACTTTCGTGAAATATTGAGTGTCAATCCATTGTGACACTGTGTAAGACAAAATAAAAAGGCAACTTGTATACAGTCAAGGCTGTAATTTGTAAAAATGAAACTTTATAAAATATCATATAAAGTATGAGTGAAATGGACGTAGGCCTAAGTGAGTAATGATCGAGTGACCATCTAAATATTGAATATTATGATAACTCTCACAATAATACACAAGGTAACATTCCATTTAAACATACGGTTAGTATGCTAATATTCCATTTATCATTAATTAAATGTCTACAAAATGCTCAGTCCACCCAGGCGCGGATCCAGGATTTCTTAGGGGGGGGGGCCAAATTTGAAATTATGCGAGCCAAATATTGGTACGTAATGGTGACCAGCAGTGACGTAATGCAGGGGGATGTAGGGAGGGGTGAGTTTCCCCCTCCCTCCTCTGCAAAGCGCGGAAGCTATATATGACGTTTCATTAAAGTATTAGAGAAAGAAGACAAGTCGTTGTACCGTTCTCGACTCTTAATCCTTCTCTTAATTCACCCCCCCCCCCTCCGCGCAGCGCGGAAGCTTTGACGTTTCATTAAACTATTATTGAAAGAAGACGATTCGTTATAGCGTTCTCGAAAATTATCCTCGTTTGCATGCAATTTTCCCCTCCCGCGTGAAGCGCGGAAACTTTTACGTTTCATTAAATCATTGACAAAAGAAAACGATTCGTTGTACCATTCTCGACTCTTAATCCTTGTCTTAATTCAACCCCCCCCCCCTCCGCGAAGCGCGGAAGCTTTGACGTTTCATTAAATTATTAAAGATAGAAGACGATTCGTTGTACCGTTCTCTATACTCTTAATCCTTGTCTTAATTCAGCCCCCCCCCCTCCGCGAAGCGCGGACGCTTTGACGATTCATTAAATTATTAGAGATAGAAGACGAATCGTTGTACCGTTCTCTATACTCTTCAGGCGCGGATCCAGGATTTCTTAGGGGGGGGGGCCCAAATTAGAAATTATGCGAGCCAAATATT